TTTTATTATTTAAAATAAAAGATTTTATGTTGCAAATTTATTAAAATATTCTTAAATAATAGATTTATGAAAAGAATAATTTTTGAGAAATAGCGGAGATGAAATAACCAAACATTCGGACGACAATTTATAGAAATTTGTATAATTGTAATATGTAATAATCAGGGAATTATTATAAAGAATATTGTTAGCTTTGTAGTATAACTATTTTTGGAGGTATTATATTAATTTTATTTAAATAAAAGATTCTATGTTTAGGGAAAAACCTTTTATTTTAAATGATTATGATTATATGCAATATATAGTTTGGTCGATATTTAATAATAGATATATATTAGAATAGATACAGTGACGTAGGCATGAGGGGGGGGGGGGGGGTTCAACTTCCCCCCCCCTTATGAAAAATGAAAAATATAATTCTATCAGGTAATATATACATTTTATTTTATTATTTAAAAATTAATAAGACTATCTAAATTTTTATTAAATGAATATTTTAATTATTAATGTCCTAGTTTGTAATGGTTATTGTTGATATTTAATTTAATAATTAAAATGTCAATTAAAAAATCTTATTTTATTTTGTTAAAAAAAATCTCTTATGTGTTTTATGATATAAATTATGGGAACATCTTCGATTAACAAAAAAAGATATATTTTTTCGTTTTGAGTTTTGTTTTTATTGAGAAAAGATCGCCATTATTTTTATATTTTTGAAGCATATGCGATTTTTTTATAAATATCTGATAATATAGGGCAATTACACACATATTGTTTTTTTTATATTTGAAATATACATTTTTGTGAATTGGATATCATTAATTTTTTTCTTGAAGATTTTTTGTAAAAGACATTAATTTTTTATCATTAATTTTTGATAATTAATTTTTTTTATTGGATTAATGATTTTCGTAATTAATTTTTTTACAATAAAATTGAATAAAAATATTTAGTTTAAAAAGAGTTTAAGTTTAAATTTTTACTTACCTTAATTAACTAACTTTTTTAAATTCATTTTTTTTCTAATTAGATTAGATTAATACATATAAATTATATTCTCACTATGTCAGCTTGCAGTCAAATTCTGTGTATCAATATCACTCACTAAATATTATTTAGCATTAACAGTTGAAGTTTAATATTTTTATTATTTAAATTATCATAATAAAAAAAATATAATCATTTATTAATTGAAAATTAACAAATTTAATATTGAAATTAGTAGAGTTTAAAATAACTAATCGACTATATTATTCAGGCGCGTACGCAGCGGGGGGGGGGGGGACAGGGAGACAAATCCCTCCCCCCAAGCCAAAAAATGCAGATGCCGGATTATATTTTTCAAAAATATTATTGTTAATATTAATTTATATTTGTTAATATTTATTCTTATATCATATATACATATATATATATATATATATATATTTTATTTATCACATTCATCTACTAAGTTATTTTATCAATCAATTTCGATTTCAAGTTTTCCTTGGCGTAATTTACCTATTATTTTCAAATTTTAGTGGCGTAATATTTATCTAAATTTCTAATAAAATAATAATTATCTCTGAAACTCCTTGTCCAACAGGGAGAAAAAAATTGCAAGCTTGTCCAACGAGATCGAGTCTCCGCCACAGTAACAGCTATTTTGGAGTTAGAAGAGCTGATTATTAATGCTATTACTGAAATATCACAATGGCTTGAAAGAAATATTTCCTTAGAAGCAAGAAAATTATTGGATTCAATACTTATTCCAAATTTTTTTTCTCATTAGAATGTATTATTTAATTATACAACTATTTTATGTAATACTTTTAAAAACATGACACTGACTTGATTAAGAAGATGAGAATAGCGGAGAGCATTTTATTAGAATTCAAGGAAATAGAGCTAGTGTTGTTGAAGAATTTCATATTTTATATGTTATTGTTGAGTCAAAAGCAGAGCTATACGTGTTAAATATTTGTCCCCCTCGACTTGCAGCAAGCAAGCTCATCATCAAAACATTAATATAGGATCAGTAGAAGAGTATTATAAAACAAATGTCCCCTCTCCCAACCTTTTTCATATGGTGATAGAAAAAAAATATAAATATTTGTTATATTTTTATCATGAAGATGTTAAAATATCTTATGATGCCTTATTAGCTGAATAACTATGATTAAAAGATTAACTATGGTTGATACAGTCCCAAAAAATGCTATGGATGCTTTTTATTTCAAACACATTTTAGATTATACTCCCAATTATTAAAATGGTTATATATATATTAGCAGCTCTTTAGTAAACTAATGAGAGAACATTCACTTTTTTAAGAAGAATAACAGAGCCTTGCAGAGGTACCATCAGGACCAGGCCCAGATTTTATTTTAAAATTTTTTCCGGCCCGGGTTTTTTTAAAAAAATATTCAGGCCCGGCCCGGCTGGCTTAGCCCGAATTTTTTAAAATAAATTATATTTATTTTTGATATTTATAGCTAATAATGGCGATTTCAAATATTTGGTTTTAAAATATACAACTCGGCTCGGATATTTTTTCTTAAAAAATTTTCAGGCCCAGCCCGGGTGTTTTTAAAAAAAAAATTACGAGCCCGTCCCGGGTATATTTAAAAAAATTAAAATACGGTCCGGCTCAGGGGCCGGGCCTGCAAGTCTGTGAAAAACATACCTATGAAATACAACATCTGAAAGTAGATTGAATGATTTGGATCTTTTGAATATTCATAGACATTTAACGCCAAGCAAGGATTGATAATTGAAAAAACGCCAAGCAAGGATTGATAATTGAAAAATTAGCTCAAAACATACAAAATACAATTATTCCTAAGAAACTTTTTGTGTATTAATTTATATTTACAATATTTAAATTTTTTATACTTTATATATTTTAAAAGCTCAAAAAATTCAAATTTCAATTTTGGGTCATTTAGGTGATTCATATCGTGTGTTATATTCACTTTATATTTTATGATTCACATTTAAATGCCGGTTTATATATATAATTTTTTTAATTCACATTAGTTTAAAATTGTGTATTAGAAAAGTTATTAATCCTAATAAATTTATGCTTAGTATTTTTAATTGAAAATATTATTTCTTAAAAAAATTTATTATCCCCCCCCAGACCAAATTCCTGCGTACGCGCCTGATATTATTCATTTTTAAATTTAATTACTCTGTCTTTTTATTAAAATATTTTCAAAGTCCAAATAAGCACGAGTTTTTTTTATAAAAAGTAAGTAAATTGATAATAAAATATTAGGTAAAATGGCACTTTTACAGACGTATTTGACTGTTATATAATATATTACAGTTAATACTTTAATAAATTTTACTGATAAATGCTTTTGATAATAAATATAAGTAACAATTTGCATTCATTAATTCAAAATATTAATAAAAATTATACATCTTTTTAATATTATTATAAACTACTTTATTTTAAAATATAATATAACAAGAGGGGGCTCGACAATAATATATAAAATTTTAATTGCTTTCATCATATCATTCTAATTCTTATTTTATAGTTACAAAATGTTTCCTTTTTCATATGGCATATTAGCAATGTAAATAACTTGGCTACATTATATTTTCATAATTTCTTCTAAGGATTTTTATTGTTTTTGTTCTAACATAATAAAATCTGATATGAGTTAACATCGTGAGTGTCATGCTATCACTGCATATTAACCAGAATCTATTATTTGTGTGGTTATGTGATTTATGATTGTTACTACAGCTGCTGAGAGCATATGATTGTATATTTTAGATAAGCAATAATGGCCAACTTTGTAGTCTTTTGTATATCATTAAAAATCGAAGATATTCTTTTAGAAATTTAATATCTCACAATAATTTTCTCTATTAATTATTTAGGTTCCATCATGTCATCTAAGAGGAAACTATAACCACCATATAGCTTTGATTTGAATTGATCGTGGTCTTTAAATTTTTCCTTATTAGTCCATTCTATAGAACATTGTCTAAAATGGTAACAGTGTTTTATTAGTTTCATGACCATTTGTCAATGTAAGTTGCTAAAAATGAGGCATATGTATGAATTAATTAACCTTTTTTATCACCTGTAATTCTTTTGACTCAAATATTTTTTATATCAGCAATCGAAAATATTTTATACTGTTATAAAAAGATTTTATATTAAAAAATATTATTTTTAGAAATGTCTTCTATTGTTTTAATTATCTATATGTTTGTTTATTTTGTATGAAATAAAATAAGAAATTCAGAATAATTGTTCAGAGCTAGCAAATTTTAAAAAGGTATAATATATTAATATAAAACCTGACCGAAGTCCGGGCAAAAGAGGGCCGAAGACTTGCAAATTAGGGGGCATGGGGGCTTCGCCCCCCCCCATATTTTTTTTTCGTTGAGCCCCATGAGATTGTAAAGGCTAGCGACGCCCCTGCATATAATTCAATTAATAAATAAATACAGCAATATATTTTACCCGATTCCATTTAATGTAATTGGTACCCCCCCCCCCAAATAAATTTAACTCCTTTTAGATTTTTACCCACTTTCTAATTTTGATGCCTACCCAGGGTCTACATGACTAAATACGCTGGCAGCAAACCCCCCGAAAAAACCTATGCCCCCCCCCCCTAATATATACCTTTATTAAATATTATCAAAAAAAGATAATATAATCCATGCATGTTAAGATTTGGCATCGTTATATTATTAAACACAATGACGAATAAACCTTACATTATTTATACTTGTCTCATGTAAATTAAGAAGATTTTCTAAAAGTTGTGGTTATATCAAAATGCCATGTTTTTTACAAAAAAACTTTTAAATCTATCATCCTTAATCAAGAAATTATCAAAGCAAATGATTATTTATCCCTTATATGCTAAATTACTCAACAGTGAAACTTATAATTTATGTTTTAGATATTATAATGAAGAGTTTAAATTGGCACCAAAACTATTTAATTTTTCAAGGTCTAAAACTGAAAGATTTTCTATAACTCTTCAAAAAATTCAATCCTCTATAATAAGCAATATAATTAATAAAAAGGTTAATTGTTCTGTCAAATCTTCTCCTCTTGATATTCAAATTTTTTATAATAATGATATTGATATAAATACCTTAACACTGGAACAGGCTTTACAAAGCAAAGATTCCAATATAATTATTGGTGAAATACATTACAGAATAATAATGAATGCCCCTTATATTAAAATTTTAAAATTGCCTAAAAAACCTATGGTTGGATGCCCTTTTTTCCCATATATAGAAGTCAATGAAGATGATGTTGATGTTCAATATTTTTGGATGAAGCCACATATTGAAAAGGAGCATACAAATGAATTATATAATGGGGATATAATGTACAAAGATTATGATGAATCAAAATGGACAAAAGTGAGTGAAAATTTGATATATAACCCTAATAAAAATGAAGTAAATTTGAAAATTGGATTATTATGCATACCTAGTAAAAATAATTTAAGAGGACAATCAGAATTTATAGTGTCAAATCTGATTTCTAAAGAACCATTAAATAATATCCTCCAAAAAAGACATAAACTTACTATCGCTCCAGTTTCATTTCCAGAGTAGCTTATTTTGTATTACATTTATAAATTTAAGTTAGGATTAGAATATGCTCTTATAACATTTTAGCAGATCTTTATGCAAAGTCTGATTATTCTAAAACAACTTTATTTCCATATTGTCCTCCATTTGCATTAAAATATGAATATAGGCAAAATATAATATTTAATGAAATAATAAGTATGATTACGAATTTCTTATTAATATTTTTTTTCTGTTAGATTATAATGCTGATCTTATATGTTTACAAGAAGTTGATAAAAAACTTTTTAATACTCACTTGAATATTGGATTATCTCAGTATGGTTATTCTGGGCTATCTCTATTTAAAGGAGACACAGTTGCTGAAGGCTGTGCTTTATTTTACAAAAATTCAAAATTTGAGTATTCATTTTAGTAATTAAAATGAAATAATATTTTTAACACAGTCTTATTTCTAAATATGATATTTCAATACCTAATGCAATTCAAGCTAATCAAGAACTATATAAAACCATACAGCAATACCCTAGACTCAAAGAAAATATAATGAGTAAGAAATCTGTTTTTCAGGTAAATATATAATTAATTATTTTATTAAAAATTGAATTGTTATAATAGGTTACACTTTTGAAATGCAAGTATAACTTAACTGATGATGTAATATGTATAGCTAATACACATCTCTATTTCCTTCCTACATCACCCCATATTCGTTTAATTCAAATAACTAGTTGCTTGAGATATTTACAAAATGTTTTAGCTCAATATTGCCAAAATAATACAAAGGTTTTTTTTTTTTGAATTAAGTTATGATTTATTTTAAACAAAAATTGATATAAATATAATTGCAGTAAAACATAAATTTTTACATGTTTTTAGAGTAGGTTGTAAAATAGTATTAAAATCTGGGCTAGGCTTAAAAAAATTACAAACTCAAGCCAAACCTAAAAATATTTTTTTTGCAAAACCTGGGCCAAGTGTTAATTAAAATTATATCAATTAATCTGTTGGCAAATATAATAGATCATTTGACATTCATTTACTACATGTTTTTAATTTCCCTTTAATTTTCAAAATCAAGGATTTCTATACAAGAGGTTGCAATGGGCAAGTTTTTAACCCAAACTTTTTTAAAAAATGTAAGCCACCTTTTCAACTATTTTTCTTAAATTTTTGTTTAACTCACTCACTTAATATTAAGAATTATTTTATTGGTTGGTTTGGCTCGTTATTTTAATGTTTTTAACTTAAATTTATGAAATATGCAATATTTTTATTCTGCTCATTTTGTACAAAAATTTTAAATTCACCCACCTCCCTGCCTGCCCATTTGATTAAAAATATTTTTTAACTGATATGCTCACCTAAATTTTTAAGCCGGGCATGGGTAGGCTGGCTTAAAACTCTCCCATTGTCGACCTCTATTCTACACCCCCCCCTCCCAGCTAATGATGATATTACCCCGTTTGCCACCTTCTACCAAGATTAGCAAATAAGGAAATTTTAATATTAGCAAAAAAGGGAAAGGAAATTCAAATCAAACTACACCCTCCAATTTTATTAAAATGACAATGGCATCTTCATAACTATCTACCCCCTTTTCTCCTATTTCAGTAACAACCTTGGGTCTTAACTCATTAGCATCAATAATGTCAGTGTAGGGACTTCAGTCCACTGAAAATTTTGAATTTTTTTATAGCAAGTTAGCTAAAAAATAAAGTCATTTTAAAAATGTTAGCTAAAAAAGGTCATTTTGAAAAAAATTTGAACCCTCTGAGATTGTAAAGGCTAGTGACACACCTATTATAACCCCCCCTCCCCTCCCCCCGGAATAAAAGTCTTTAGTTAAAATTATTAAAAATAACAAAAAAATGGTGATTTTTTTAAATCCAGGTTGGGCTTAAAATATTGACTTCTGCAGGTCTCTGATTTTATAAAGTATAAAAATTTATAATTATTTTTCTATGAATTCTCAAATTCATTATTACAATCAAGGGTTTGTACTGAATGAACTCTTAGATGCCATCTATTAAATCTACTTTTACGATGATTGGTCAACCTGAACCAATTTTAAATTACTTTAGCCACAAAAAAATAAAAACAGGTTTGGTTTTAATGTTCAAAATAACATTAATCATTAGGGTAAACATTGGCGTAACCAAGGGGAGCGGGCAATACCCTCTCTTTCGGATATTTATCAGTTTTCGTAAATATAATTTAGCTTCCTGCCAAAAGGCCTCCAGATAACAAATTTTTTTATATTGTGGTAAAATGCGGGGTCATATTTTGTAAAAATAAATTTCACAATTTATTAGGTTTTTATTCTTTTTTTGTTTTGCATGCTTTTTGCCTATTTTTTATATTATTTGCATCTTAAAAGTCTGTAGCGTTCGCAGTGTTGGTTCCCCTATATATGCCCGAATACGATTCCGACAGTTTTCAAAATTAAAAAAATACTCTTTATAAATGATCTAAGTTTTTAAATATACTAAAAACGAGGGTTTCGGGTGAATTCAAATCCTAAAATTATAGATTCGGGATTCCGTCAAAAAAATTTAATTTTCGAATTATATATTTAAATTTATTCTTTCGGATTCTTATCAGGGATGTGAACCCTTCGACATAAAAAAGGGTCCGGGTCTGGTAATAAATTTAAAAAGGACCCTGGTCCAAGGTTCGGGTCCGGGTTCAGAGGAAACATAAAAATAATGACTCAAAATAAAACTTTTTTTCATTCATTTTTTATTATACTTCAATATATATACACATTTATAATTCGAAATGAGATAATTTATATTTTAAATATTTTATACAATCGCATAATCATGATATCTTCTAAAATATCATCCTTCAGATTTCCACAGAAATTAGTCAACGATGAAAATCCACGTTCTACGCTTACCTAAAATAGATAGTCATTTTTATAATACATAAATTATTGTACTTGTGTCGCCGGTACAGCCATGACGATTCTAGAAAAGGTATATAATTCTGGATATATTGAAGAATTTTCCTCCCAGAATTTTAAAATGTTTGCATCTCTATTTATTCTCATAACTTCCGAGAACTTTTCTATTAAAGATACAATAGATATTTTTTGCTCCTTTCTAAGATGATAATTTAATTTTTAATTTCCAGATCATCAATATCGTTATCATTATCATTATCATTGTTATCGCTACAACCAGTAGATATTGTTGTAACCACTAATGTATTGTAAATAATAGAGTTTTGGGTATGCCATAAATCTTCAAGATGGTCTATAGCCATTTGTTTTTTCTCACTACTTAATAAAACCTGATATCGCGGGTCTAAATATATCGAAGCATATACAACACTATTTTGTAAATATTGTTGCTCTCTTATTTTCGTATTTTCTAATACTTCATTTGAAAAAGAACTTGTTAATCTCCCTAACTCTAATCGACATCTTAACCATGTCATAAAAATCCGATAAATATAATTGTTCTGCACTCTTAATGTTGTTATTTTTAAAGGAACCAGCACACTAGTAAGCTCTTTTACTTGATTCCAATCATCTTCTGAAAAAATGATTTCACATGCTCCTATGATAAAATCATTACAGAAATCTTTCAAACTTAATAATCGCTCTAGCATCATACACATAGAGGACCAACATGTTGTGCAATCTAAAATTGCCATTTACCTTTTCATGGATGTTAATATTCTAACAATTGTGGGAGTTCTTAAATATTTTACAACATCCCTTGCTTTATCAATTATAGTTTTAAGTGACTATTTTTTAGGGAGATTCCAGGAAAAAAATTAATAAAATTATAAAAATTTTATATTATTTTTTAAAAATTATATTTTTACATTAATTAAAAAAAAAAAATTTTAAGTTAAAAATTTTTAACACCCTGAATTGGACCCTCCACTTTTTAAAAGGGTCCGGGTTCAGCCAAAATACAAGGGTTCAGGGTCCGGGTTCAGGAATTACTCTACCAACAATGTTTGTTACAAGTTTTAAATTTTTAAATAAATTTATGTAAAAACTAAATTTATATATTTGAAAATATAAGAATTTTAATTTTTTAATTAATCTTGAATAAAAAAATAATTTTTTTGTTTTTTAGAGATATAAAAAAAATAACATGAAAAATTTTAAAAAGGTTTATGGGACCATCATTCTCTTATATTTTGTATAAAATAAATAATATTAGTTAATCAAAATATAATCATCGTCAAAGGGTTAAAGAAAGGAAAGGCTTTATAATTTAAAATTTTTTTAAACTTACTAATAGCTTCCTGAATATAGAAAAGCCTTAAGCGTTTAATGAGTTGTCATTTTTTGTAATTCTTATTTCTATACTTTGCCAACGAGCCTAAACGTTTCTGTCTCATTGTCTACTTCAATGACATATAATAATACCTAGACTGACGATTCATTCATTAAAATGCATTTTTAAGCGTCGTTAAAAGCAAATCAGCTGGACCCGCCATTTTGGTAACCTTTATAATAATTATTTTCATGTTAAAAACTAATATTAAATTGATAACTTACTTTCTTATTATCTCGATGATCAGGCAATTCTTTAATAAAGTTTGCATCAGATATAATATAAAATTAGGCTCTCGTTTAAAATTTTAATATTTATTACAGTAACCAAGATGGCGTCTCTAGCTGATTTGTATTGATGTACACTTTTAATGAATGAATCGTCAGTCTAGGTATTATTATATGTCATTGGTCTACTTATAAATGGCAACGAGGTTAAACATCTCTGCCCTATTGTCGTACGCATACTTTTTATGTCTCTTTAAAGCGGAATATACGTTCACAAGAAATGAGTAGTTATTATTATCTTTAAGCAAGTTTATCCAAAGTAAAAATAACTTTTTTACTTATATTTTAAAGTTTATTTATTTGAAAAAGACAATATCTTGATTATTTATTATGTTTTGCCATTCTAGAAAAAGGAGAAGGAAGTTATTATAAAAATGACTTATTATGCCATAATAAAATTTTAGATTAAAAATATATTTATAAGCCAATTAAAAAAAATTTTTATTTATTTAAATTACATTTTTCTAAATGCTTATTTTTAAAAAGGGGTTACGGCAGTACCCAAAGTACATAGATAACCACGCGCCTTCATTTTATATCCTGGTATTGTTCGTTATTTTCTATACTTTTCTAATATTTTACGTGGTTTAATAATGCCGATAAAACACTGGAACTAGGGTTGGGCACTTTACATAAAAAATTAACGGTTTCTGTTATATAAAGAGAAAAATACCGTCATTACCTCAAAAAAAAGGTTGACGGTTACGTTACCATTATTTGGAGCATGTAATAATTACATAAACTTTTTGTTACATATTAAAAATAAGTTGGCCATAAATATTTTATTTATTCACAACTCTATAAATTCTAAAATAAAAAGGCAGTGTAAATATAAACGGAAAAAAGTTTATTAAATTTTATTGTCAATAACGATTAAAGATGATAATTTTAAGTATTTGATAAAGGGGTTATGTACTATTAATACACAAAATTTCAAAAAAAATTGAAAGGGTCAAGGCCAGAAATTATGCTTATTTTTGTATTTGTTAAGAAATTAATTGTATATATATTAATTTTGAATTGTACATACTTTAAAAAAATACCAGCCCAGCCTCATTTATCTAAACATTTTGTCTGACCCGCCCACCCAACATTTTAAAATTTCTAATTAGATGGTTTGGCTCTTATATTTTTACTTACGAATAGTTTGAATTAAACAAATTAATAAACAAACCTATCCATTCTTAATTGCACTTTCACCGCAATAACTATATTTTTCAAATTTTCAACAAATTAGTATTTGTTTTTTTATTTATAATTTAAGAGCAAAAGACCTCGAGTAATTATTTGCGGTGATTTTAATTCATCACCTCAAACGGATCTCTACCAATTTTTAACCACTAAATGTCTAACCAAGGATGCTACTTCTTGGCCAAAAGGTTTTAATTATTTTGTTTTGTATACATACATAATATTGATCCAAGGCCGGATCCTAAACATTTTTAAAAAATTTTGTACGTGTTTAAATTTGCATCTTTTAAATATTATTTTTATAAAAAACTCTTCTTTTTTTTCATAATTTTTTTCTATCTATGGCCTGAATAAAATATTTTTTTGATAATTAACAGTCCCAATTTGGGGTCTTTGTTTCCTGGCCTTATTTTTCCATAAAGCTTAGATTTGAGCAATGTAAACTTATTAATAATGATGAAATATATTTTATATATTATTGAATTTAACCACTAATTAATTACTTGCTCTACTTTTATGAGATTTATTAAATTATATTATTCATCTATAACAATCCCCAGGAGACGATCCGGAAGCATTTGAAGGGTTTGACTTGAGTCACAATTTCGAGTTATACAGTGCTTGCGGACAACCTGAATACACAAATTTTGTGCCTGGTTTTCAAAAATGTATCGATTATGTGTTTGTCGAAAAAAAAAAATTCGAAATTGAACAGGTTTTAATATGATCCTAATTAATACTATATTTTATTATAATAACATAAATTAGCAAAGTTGTTAAAAGATATTTTTAAAATGAATACCCTGGTACATTGTCATAAATGTATACAGATTGAATACTATACACTCAAAAATATATCGATAAAACAATAAAAAATGCATTCCGACACTTTAACAACTCTACATTAATATTCAAAATGTTATATATTACATAAAATTCCATTTTTTTCAAAATAAAAGATTATTCCGTTTCCATCAAGGAAGGATATAGAAAAATATACGGCGTTACCCAATGAAGAATTAGGTTCAGACCATTTAGCATTGGTTTGTGACGTGAAAATTACATAATATCAGATTATATATATTTTCGATCGAATAAGAATTTCCAAAAATAAAAGTTACTTACTAGTTTGGTATGCCATTATGATATAATAAAATTGGGTTACATAAAAAGACATTTCCAATAAATAAAAAAAGAAAACATATGTTACAAAATTATCATTCTTAATTTAAAGTTTAACAAAAATTTGCTTATAATTTAGACATTAATATTTAGTTTCACATTCCAAATGTCTAAATTTTTGGAATTACGATTGATTGGTGACTTGCTGTCTTTTAAAATGCGCTCTAACGCTCTGGTGGCCTTTAGAGATCTACAAATCTTGGCTCGAGTATTTTAAAAATATTTTCAGTGTGCCTAATATTTTTTAAAAACTTCGGGTCTATCCTAAATTTTAAATATGATATTCAATTCTGTGAAATTGGTATATTTCATTATATTTAAAAAAATTCGGGCTGGGCGGACAAATAATTTTTAATTCGAGTAGGGCTTTTTAGGTCAAATAAAAAAATTTCGTTCAGGTTAAAAAATTAGGCCTGATGCAGATCACTTATACCCCTAGCCAAAATTTTATCTTGTTTTATTTAAGATAGTCTATATTATTTTTTTAGAATTATTTTAAAATTTACCTTAATTAACTAGTTTTAATTTTTATTTAAAAATAAATATCTTTAACTGGTTTTTAGGATGGAACGTACACAAAATTATAATATGAAATTGATATAATTGCGTATATAAAATATATTTTATAATTAAATATATATTATATGTATATTTTGTAAATAATCTTCATAAATAATATATTTTCAGCTGGTATATAAAAGCTTTTGAAGGCTTTGGACTAAAATTTTTGAGAGATTTAAAATTTCTTTCACAGGATGCTTTTCAGCCATTTCTGTTAAATATAATTTGAATATTTAATATTAGAAGATTTTAATAAGAAATTTTTTAAATTACTAAGGGTATAAAAATTAAGCAAAAGAACAATTCTTAATTGCTTAACAAAAAATATATAGGATTGACAATCCCACAAAAAGATGCTTTTGGAGGTAAATAGCCTCTATAATCCGAACACTAAAAGATAATAAAAATGTATGAAATTTTATCAATAATCTTGATTTGTTAATATCCAACACCCTTTGGTTACATTATTAATTAGATTAAATATGAATAACTTCAACCGTTAAAAAATTTGATCACATCTGTAAATTCCATCTCGTTATCAATGATAACGACCCGATAATATTCTACAAAAGCTAGCGCCATAAATAGGACAAAATGGTTGGATACAGTGAATCGAGCAGCCCATATTGTTTCCCACACCAAAAATATGTCCTCATAGGTTAATTCTATATTATTTTTAACAAATCGGTCATAAATAGGTTAAATTAGAGTATAACATCTTATAATCAATGGTGTCGTTAGGATTCAAGAATCTCTATAAATTTTTTAAAATTTGAACAAGCCTTTAATAAAAATTGGGCCGGGTTCAAAAAATGAATACAATTTATCTTTATAAAATGTGATTTTTTTTTGGAGGGGGGGGGGGGACTGCTTTAAAGGGCTAACGATGCCAATGTTTATAAGAATTGATCTTGATTTTTTTTTATATTTGATATGTATTAAGCTAATTTTTTTTAAAAAATTTAAAACAAATTGATGGCATTTTGGAATAATTTTTTTTAGTTACCTCTTTTGAAATCTAATAGAAACCATCGATAACAAAAGTAAAAGTTGGTATATTCTCCACTTTTTTGCATTAACCGATGCATTTCTGGATCCAAAATCTTTAAAATTTATTACAAAAATACCATAATATTTTTTATACTTTATTTACTTGTATCAATGAAGCCATATATGAAAAATTGTCGTCCATGTTATTTCCCATCATTGGGAAATTTCCCGACATTTTTTCCATCAACTTTGAAAAGCATTCATACGTTATTACTTCTATTTTTTTTATAATGAATGATGTTTGAACTATAAATTACCAGGACACAGTTATATTCAAAAATGTATACATGACTTGGAACTAAACGAGAAATGTATAATCCAAAAGAGTTAGGAACTTTCCCGAATATATAAAAGGTAATTTTCTAATTTTATTTGTATTTTATTAATAATCATTTTATGAATTAATAGTCATTATATTAAAAATATTATGAACTATCTATATCCCTTCGCTTCTTGGAAGAAACAGCAATGCAAAAAATAATGCATATTTTAAAAAAAAATAGTTTCCATTTTATTTATATAACATGTTTCGCAGGATAAATACGTAATATAATCATACCCAGTGGCGTCATACAATCTCAGGGGGCTCAAAGATCTCTTTTTTTTAAATTACCTGATTTTTATCAAGCTAATATTTTTGAAAATGACTTCTTTTTTTAGCTAATAATTTCAAAAATATTTTTTTAGCCAATATTTAAGGAGGGCCTCGTTTTTGACCAATAATTTTAATGACTTTAGCTAATATTTCAAAATGACTTTTTTAGCTAATAATTTCAAAATAAATTATCTTATTTATGTATTTGTGAAAAAAATCAAATTTTACTAGGGATCGGCCCTTATGACCCCCCCCCCTTTATTCTAACTACTGATCATGCAAAATAATTATTTTTTATGAAAATTATAAAAACAATTTCGTTATACATAAAAAACTTTACATTTTATAAATGTGACGTGTTCGTTATATTTTTATTTTTTATTTCGGTATCTTGACCTCGAACTTTGATTGGTAACATTAACATGTATTGGCAGGTGTGAGGCCTCATCTAACCTTGCAGGGGAGGGCGTGTAGCGTATTGTTTTTACCAAACGCCTCTTACCTAAAATCTCGTTTTCACTATCACTGGAAGATGTGGGAGGTGATAGATGTGGTTTATTAAATATTTTGCTATTGCAATTTTGAAATCGTAGTATGCCATGAATAAGCTTGAGGTCTAGCTTAGAAGTTTCTTATCGCGCTTAGACTCAATCCATGCGACTGCTAAATCAATTAAATGATGAAATATTCGCATAGTGAATTATTGGTACGACTACAAATTAAATAATATGCTTTGGAACTACGAGACCTGGCTCGATTTTTTATGCATGAATTGTCCGGTTGGGCCTGTTTACGTATTTGCACAACCCGTGGAGTCGGATTTTGCAGATATTAAACATTTTTTTAATATTAATATGAAAGACCTGCAGAGGTACCACGGCCTGGCCCATGTTTTTTTTAAATATATTTTATTTATTTTTTTTATAGCTAATGGCGATTTAAAATATAAGGCTCATCCTGGGTATTTTTTTTAAATTGCCCGGGTATATTTTAAAAAATTAAAATACGGCAATAATTTTTATTTGATACCCATATAAAAATTTATTTTTTGACCCTCCCCCGATCTGCAGGTCTCTGATTCATTTATTTCATCGTATTATGATACCGGAGTGTAGATGATATTTTAAAATATAGATTTTATGAATAATAAACTTTAGCTTAGATAAGCACCTTTTATTCTTACTTAGCTTAAAGACGTGACATATTCAATTCGTGGCAATATTTAATTAGTAAAATTCAAATATTATTTATTAAATTAATGATTAAGTCAAATGTTTATTAAATCAATATTTTTGGAAATTTTATGAATGAGTTGATATAAAATTTAATGAACTTCAAAAATTATAAAATAAATTTTTTTATATAATGTTTGTCATAGAAATATAACTTTAACCCAAGTTATTAATTTTTATAAACATGGGCCTAGATTAAAATCATATATAAGCTCGGATAAACCCAAATTTTATACAATATTGTTGAAATTGAAAAACCCTTATTGTAGCCCAAAATACTTATCCTGATTTTTATGAAATTGAGGAAAGCCATCTATCTTTTTAATCAAAGATGTTAATTTCTACTTTTTTAACAATACTTATTAAGGAAATAAATTCAAATTCTCTTAAAACATGAGAAAATCTTTTATTCTTTCCAAACCAAAAGATAAAAAAAAACGTCTTTAAATGACCATATTAAAAATAGAAATTTTTATTATGATTTAGGAATGAAAAATCATGTACCTGATGTTAGGGCTACTTCTGATTTTGCCCAAAAATGTAATAATTTTAAAATAAATACACCAAAGGGACACATGCGGAGCTCTTAAATTGGCTACATCATGAAAAATTGGCACCGTTTTAGGAACATACTTTCACTTTCTATCTTTTAATAATTGAGTTTTCGACCCTCTTATTTCCAATTTTTAATTAGTCCTAAAAATCCTATTCAGAATACATTTGTAAATTCATTGATAATGATTGGCGAAAATATTAAACAATGATTTACCTAGTCAAGTTCATCAACTCCCTTTTTTCAAGATTAATTGCACTATCTAAGCCTGATGGTGGGGTTCGATCGATAATAGGGACTTTTTTTAGGAGATTAATAGCTAAAATAATCGGTGAGTGCATCAAGCCTGATGCTTCAAAAATGTTCCAAACATATTAACTAGGCTTTGGTACTAAAGGAAAATGCGAAATAGAGGCCGCTCTCTTAGTAATATATATCGAAGATCCTTCTCCAGACGTCGTAGTCTGTAAGTTGGATTTTAAAAATGCTTTTTAATTCTTTACCCATAAAAGTATTAAACATTTTTATGCAAAATTTATTGAAGAGTCATATGGCTGTAGAACCCCTTCCTTTTATATTTGGCTTGGGCATACATAACCTAATTTATTCTTTACTTTGACATAAATATATGGTATCTGGGATGATGACGCCATCTGTGGATCATAAAAATATTTTAGCCGCGATAGATTATATAGTTTTTAAAAAATCTTACTCAAATAAAGCAAAGTCTGAAATATGTATTTTAAATTCAAATGCCCTCGAAGCTTGGGGTATTATTAAAGAAAATGAAATTAATCTTCTAGGTTCACCTTTAAGCAATTTTTCAACAGTTAGGTGTTGATGGAAAAATATACTATAGGCATATAAGAACTGGAACATATTTTAAAAGAAATAATTTTCCACCAAAGTTTATCACTTTTTAAAAAAATGTTTATTTTTACTAAAAATTTTACATATTGTTAGATTTTTTTAAAAATATTGAAATTATTAATCGTTTTTATGAATTTTTTTAGAAATATATTAGAAAATATTAAATTGGAAGATTTTAACTGGGGTTTCTTATAATTATTTTGGAAAATTTGAGATTTAGATTTATATCCATTAAATTTTAAATCTCTTTTTCCATTTTTGGGATGAACGCCATGATATCTTCTTTTATCCCTCCTAAGGATAATCTTTTAAATTCGGCCTTGACTGCTTGGATATCTTTAGCCTTACCTGAACCTGTTATACCCATAGTTTTAACACATCAATCAATTTTTGAAACTTTAATTTTAAAAAATTTAAATTCCCTCATCAAACCACCTCTGGAATATATTCAACTATTACAAAATGCTGACTGTACTAGTGGTTATGAATGGTTGGAAGCACTATCAAGTCATAACCTAAACCTCTTATCAAGTAAACAATTAAATGCCATAGGCCACCGAATTGGATGTAACATGAATAAAATGGCTCTGTTGAGATCTAGCCAAAATAATATTATCTAAGCCTGATTTGCTCATAGATGGCAGAAAGGTTTGGACCTCTATTTTCCAAATCTTGAGGCCTAAATAATATTCTTTTGGCTAAAATATTGGGCTGTTTAACAACACTACTTAAGAGGGTCCTAATATCAAACATCAGCGTAACTTTAATTTTTTTTTAAAATATAGGCAGTAAAACAAGAGCCCTTACCTCAGAACTAAAGGGATTTTATTTTTTAAGACAAAAAATTCAAATTTCTAATAAAATTTAATTATTCATGTTTTGGGGGAACTTATAGTCCCAATTTCTTTTTTATTTATAAAATGAGCGTTTTTATTATATTATAGTTATATTATGAATTAAATAAATCGATACATTATCAAAAAAAATATCTAGAATATTGAGAGTAACTTGCTTTCTTACAAATTTATATTATTTTGTTAATTGGATAAATTATCCATTTAAATATATTTTTAATAGTTTTTTTTTAGATTTAACAAACGAATTTTAATAAAATTTTTAAATCTAATCTAATTTAGATAAGTTTTTTTTAGCAATAATATTGGTTATTTATTAGTGTAACGAATATTAAAATTCGATTAATATCATTATTAGTTTCGTTTTTTTAATGGTTCAAGCTAATTAAAAATCATATATTATATTTTAAAAATATATTAGTAGATTATTTCGTTTGAATATATCGAATACAAGATACATTAATAGGTTCAGATCATATATTAGCTACATGCATAGTGACTGTTGATTGTTACTTTTTCGCATTAAAATTTATTTTTATTTATACTACAACGCATAAATTATCAATTATAGTCTTTTAAAAGATGATACTTGTAATGGTTAACAAAATAGAAATAAAATCAGATATTATTTAGTTTGGAACCTTCCTAACCAGAACGAAAGACTTTTGTCGACTAGAAGATATGAATGTAAAGATGTCATTGTTCCAGGTATCTGTTATGTACATATTAAGACATGGATATGTGGTCAACATATTAACCTTAAATAGTCTAACAGAGCGAATCTAAGTTCGCGAGATTTTTCTAGACTTTAATCTTAAGTTGCCATTAGGCTTAAAAAAAATTGAACATAAAACTTTAAGTTCCAAATCATAGAGCTATTTTGACGATTTCATACTAATATAGAGGTGGATTAATTTGTTCATAAATATATATATATATCAAAATAAAATATATATTAAAATTAAGATTATACCTTCGTCAAAGATAACTAACAATGGAGCGGCTAAATCACACATTCCCTGAAAGTAGCCACATTCCAAGTTTTTCCACACATAACTTAATTTAAAGGCGAATATAATATAATTTAAACAATCATATTTTTTTTAATTCTAAAGTCAAACAAATTTACTCATAAAATATATTTCAAAACAGAGCTTGGAACCTAGAGGAAAATAGGGGTTGGTTTCAGTTCTAAATATTTTTTAAAAAGTGGTTCCACTCCGGTCTTAAATTTGACGAAAAGGTTCTGGTTTTAAACTGTTAAAGCAATCAAAAAAAGAAAACAATAAATAAAGCCATTAAAATGAATCACAGCATTTTAAACAATATATATAGTATAGTGTATGAATTACTTACACTTTGGTTGAAACCAGTTCTGGAATCGGTTCCTATAAATTTTAAGGGAGCCAGGTTCTGGTTTTAAATTATAACTCAAAATAGTAGAGAAAAACATTTATAAGGTCACCTGCAAATCACATTCCTGAGTTTATCTAAATTGTGTGTATTTTCGAAATACCAATAATTTCTATCGCACCTTAAAACGTCCTTATCGATACGGTGTATATTTAAAGCGAAATTGTCAATTACTTCAGGCTTCAATTATTTTAAAAAATGTGTTTTATTTAGAGATTTGTTGTAGTTAATTTTGAATTCCTGTTTTGCTTACTCTAACAGTTAATATTATAGCTATGTTAGGTGAACTTATGATTCAACAATTTGAAATAACATAAAAGTAAGGTTTTAAATAAGACATATACCGGATAAAACAGAGTATCATTGTCCTGTTGCCATTGAGCATACCTATTTTTGTCATTGAACGTCGAGTTACAATCAATGTCTATAATTATCACCATTATCGTTATGTAATTTAAAAAAATATAGCAATAAAATCGTGTAAACTATTTTTCATTCTGTACAAATGTTAAACAATTATTTCTTTATGATTCATATAATAATACCGATTATATCATCTATTTTGTCATAAATATCCTCCATATGATGGAAATCATCGATGTTCGGCGTTGTTTCCATTAATTCTGCTGGAGAATAAGAAAAATCTCGAGATGTTTCTAAAAAAGGTCCCAAATTGGAGATTTTTGAAGGAGAAATATGTTTATTTGAATCTATTTTTACGTAATAAGGAATATATAAAACAAATCATTTAAATAAATATAACATACATATAAAAAAATTGTTATTTTGTCAATCAATTATAAAGTCAGGCAGAAACTAATTCTATTTAATTCAGTCTCTTAAAATATTAAATTAATCAGTACTTAATCTAATAAAGTTAAATACTAGAATTTTTGAAAGATAACTTAAATTTTCTTTCCTTAGAATCAGCCCATATCTAGGTAAAGCTTATATGTGATCTAAAGAAAGGTTATTATTAGCCTTTGTTGTCCAGGTTGTAAAAATGCGAATATACCCGAATAACCCCAAAAGAAATGTATTGTATCTCAAAATTAGATTCATTCTTATGTATTCATTTTTACATAATTAAATAAACATTTACCTAACAAAAATTATAATTATTTTTATATTTGATCCAAAAACAAATAAATTTGTAGGATATTTATTATAGAGCTAGCCAAAAATCTAAATTTTTTTATCTACTAAATTAAATATTATTTTGACACCAAGTATATCATAATCTTTATTCTCATCAATAAATAACTTTAAAACAATTTTTAGTCTCAACTATTTATTCATATTGAAGACAGAGCATTTTAAAATTAGATGGGCTGACCAAATATTATCAAAAATTGGTGATATCTCAGAACTCATCAAAAATAAACTAAATTTTACATGAATATTGTTTAGTTAAAATTATTTACCAATACAAAATACGAGATCAGAATAAATGTTTTATAATAAATTTTAAAAAATATGGATTGTTTATATAACCAACCCCACTTGTGTGATAGAAGGATTGCCGCAAGGGAATAAATAGCTGGTATATATTTTAATATAATCTACAAAGGAATTGAATTAATTTTTCAAGTTTAAAATATATTTTTAAAAACCAACCAATTTGATCGCTATAACCGTTAATTGATGTATCAAGTGGTGAACGTATTGCATTATGATTTGACGAGATTATAGAAATAGGGGTTGGATAAAGAGGGCTTGCGGTGCCGTTTACTTGATCGCTTAATTTTTAAATATTTAATTAAATTTTTTATGTTACCGGCACATAATGTGGCAGTACCAATATCCGTGTAATTTTCGAATATATATTAAGAATAATTCCAAAGTGCATGAATGATTGTCTGAAATCTATAGGATAAGTATTTTACACATATTGATACTAGATTACATTTTTAGAAATCAGATCGTCAAATAAACTTGCTCATCAAATTATTTTGCCATTATTGGATTTTGCAGGAAATGCATTCCAGCATGTGTAAAAAAAATATTTACCCTATAAATTTTAGACAATTGCCTGGTTACGGATATTGCCGATAACATAATATATGTTAACTTGAATTTTTATCTCATGTTCTCAGATTGCAGAAAAATATTTTGATTGTTGTTGAGAAATACACAATTATTTTTATAAAACTCCTCAATTTTACAAGATAAATATCGGTTCCCTTTGAAAATAATTATTATCTAAAAATGTAATTCCGTTTCTTTCTTCGGCATATTAAGTTTTAAAACTAAAAAGGCTCTGCAATTGTTATTAATATTCTTTTACCGACTAACCCCGTTCCCGGAAATAAACAACGTATGTGTGAGTTACCGTTTATTTAAAATGTTTTTCCACTTAAAGCCTTTTGATATTGGGTGCCAGAAATCATATAATTTCCATTAATTAATAATAAAATGGAAAAAAACTTAGCATAGCAATCACGAGACTTTCCAGTAAAAAAATGGCGTTTCTTTCTCACATCTAAGAATAATTTTTATATTTGATAGATTAGTAAGAAATAAAAAATGACCACATTTAAATAGTCCAATTGTGGTAATCGAAAAAAAGTCCTCCCTGCATATTTTTTTAAAAAAATGAGCTTTAATTATCTGCTTGATGTTCTCAATGACATTAATTCTAATTTAGACTGATAATTCATTCATTAAAATGTATTAAAAAGTATATATAGATTGAAAAGCATTTAGACGAAATGGTTTCAATATCGTCTATTAAAGCTAATGAAATTGATTATAGCTGACTTTATATACACTTTTAATAAAGGAATAGTCAGTCTGGTTAGTATTAATGATATTGATTTTACTTAAAATAAGGTACGAGCTAGTGTTAGATTAATATTAAATATAATTTTTTTTTACTGATTTGATATTTCCTAGATAAAATCAAATCGATAATTTAATTATGATAAACCCATAAGTATTTGATTCAATTGAATCGTCAGCTAGGGCTAGCCTTTATGAGATAGTTAGATTAATATTAATTCATTATAATAAAAAAGATTTTGCTTATAAATATAAAGAGGTGAGTTAAATCTATACAAGAGCGTCAAGGTTATATTAATTTATATTCACTAATCAATTTAGTAAAAAAAAGAATTGGGGGAGATCTCCAGTAATATTTTATATCTTATATTCATTATAAGCATCGTTTAATTTGGTATCGCGTCATTACAGAGAAAACAATTATAAAGAAACTTTTACAGAGAAAACAATTATAAAGAAACTTTTACAGAGAAAACAATTATAGAGAATTATTTTATAAAGAATGATTTTATAGAGAATGTCGTATATAGAGAATGATTTTACAGAGAATTATTTTATAGAAAATAATTTTATAGAGAATGATTTTACAGAGAATGATTTAATAGAGAATGATTTTATAGAGAATAATTTTATATAAAAAGATTTTACAGAGAATGATTTTATAAAGAATGTATTTTATAGAGAATTATTTTATATAAAGAATGTATTTTATAGAGAATTATTTTATAAAAAATATTACTTAAAGATATGATTATTTTATAAAAAAATGTTATATATAGTCATAGGAAAAAAAAGTTACAGTATTTTACATAATTTTAAATATTAGAATTACCTTATATAAGCGAGGTTTTTCGATTATTAGATGAATTAATGGTAGAATAAAATTTTGACATGATTTGTAAGGAATTTTACGAAATTTATTTTCAAAGATAAGTACAAATAAAACTTTGGCAATGTAATTCAACTAGTTAAGTTAGTAGTTAAATTTGGGAAAATATAACAAGTTACAGTTAATAGTTTTTTTTTTTTAAATATAACTAGCCACTAGTTACAATTATTTTTAGTGGATAGTAGATTCAGGGCTAGCCGGATCGATTAAATTAAGTTAAATCGAATATATTTATATTAATATAAATTCATTGGCAAAGATTTAAATCATATATATTTATATTAATATAAATTCATTGGCTAAGATTTAAATCATATAGTAAAAGAATGTTAAATTTATTATTTAATTATATTTATTGAAATATATATATAAATTAAGTAACCAGTTACTTTTGCGCGGATGCCTGTTTCATATATCTCAATGCATATGGCGCACGGTTCAAAAAAATCCGCTAATTTGCAATGCATACAAAACCGAAACAAATTTTGCTATGTACGTAAAAATGTTAATGTCACTGGCATATGTACCAATTGAGGATATAATTTATGGATTGGAGGAATTATGTGCCTCTAAATTTTATCAAGAAAATAGGGATATTCTCTCCCCCTTGACAGAATACTTTGAAGAGACGTGGATTGGAAAAATGATAGCGATGGAGAGGAAGTCGCCAATATTTAGCATTTCTCTATGAAATTGCTACGAATTGACACTATCTAGTGAACCGAATACAAATAATTCAGTAGAGAACTGGCATAGAGTTTTTCGTCTCATATAAGTTCACATCATCCAACGATCTGGAAATTTATAAAGAGTTAGCAATTATATTATATTATAAATTTTAGCATTTTAATTTTTAGCTCTCAAAGACGAAAATAGCCTGAATTGTTACAAATTGGAACAATATTCTTTAGGACTATTGGCTCCGCTTCAAAGAAAGAATATCGCGAAAGATTCAAAAGGATTTTTTTAATTGTTGAAAATTTTTATTCAAGAACCAGGCTTTATACCATAATTTAAATTTAAATGTTTAATTTAATCATATAATTGTATTTTTTATATTGGTATATTATTTATACTATGTTTATTTGGATTTTTTATGAATAAAAATTTATTTGATATTTCGAAATGAATATTGCTAAGCTCAGTATATTATCAAGGTTTATCTTATAAAAACTTCATATACAAATAGTATTAAACAAATTCTTTAAGTCACATTGCCAAAGTAACTTTTAACAACACTATATATTTTATTTTGTATTCTTATCTTTAAAAATAAATTTCGAAAATTCCTTACAAATCTTGTCAAAATTTGTTTATCTCTTAGTGACAAATAACTTTTAACTTAAGAATGGATTATCGGTGTGTCCCATCTATAATTGGATATTTTTAGGAAGAATAATAATATAAAGAACTAAATAAATTTTGCTGAAGATAAAAAAAGTTTATAAATGAAAATCTCTACATTAGTTTTGTCAAATTAAGTGGTTACCATTAACTAGCTACACTTTAGCTAAAAAATATTTATAACTAGTTACATTTACAAAATCGTAACTGTAGCTGGCTACATTTTTTAGAAAGTAACTGCCAAAAGTAACTAGTTACTTAATTTAAATAAATTATGTCAAATACTGTAACTTTTTTCCTATGACTATATATAACATTTTTTATAAAATAATCATATTCTTATATAAAATTCTTTATAAAATAATTCTTTATAAAATAATATTCTTTATAAAATAATGCTATTAAATACATTCATTATAAAATAATTCCATATAAAATACATTCTTTATAAAATAATTCTATAAAATACATTCATTATAAAATAATTCTCTATAAAATAATTCTCTGTAAAATCATTCTCTGTAAAATTATTCTCTATAAAATTATTCTCTATAAAATTATTCTCTATAAACGACATTCTCTATAATTGTTTTCTCTATAAGTGCATTCTCTATAAACGTCATTCTCTATATAAAACTTTCTCTATAAACGACAAATAATTGTTTTCTCTATAAAAGTTTCTCTGTAAAATACATTCTCTGTAATGACGTGGAACCGTTTAATTTGTTAATAATTTTTATTCACAGTAATAGCTTTATAATTTTTTTAAAATCGCAAAACAAAAGTCTGGATTGGGTTGTTTTGAATTAAGATAACCCTAAAGTTCTGAAAATGTTATCATGCGAGTGAATATATCTTTTTTTACTGAAAAAGAATTGACGAGGGACCGAATTTTAATGACAATAAAGGTAACCTCAACTAAAAGTTTGATTTAAATTTAACGGGATTTCTAAAATATAATAGAAATCATCGATTATTTGATTCCCTTGTGATTTAAAAATATTTAATAATTTTTTTATATTATGTTAAATATAAATTACACGAATATAAAATTTGTGAATGAAAAGTGTATTAATTATATCAAACAAACTCTTAAAAATTTTATCTTTAGTAAAGTGATTGTAACTAGGCCCAATAAAAGTGGGAAAGTTCTGAAAATAGAAATAATTTCTTTAGCTTAGATTTTTTTAAAAATAACCTTTTATCAAAGACTTCGTCGAAAGAAGTGATAGTTTCGAAGGTATTTTCAGGCTTTTTACATTGATTATTTTCTTTGAGAGTAGTTCTCTGGGTTTTATCGATGTTCTCACCTATTTTTTTGTTGTTGGGAGGTGGGGTGTTTTTGTATAGGATTAATGATGACCTTTTGCCGAAGAGGGAAGTGTTACTTATACGCCTTAACAAGGATGAACAATTGCCATCTTAATTATGATAGTGATTATATATATTAGAAATATGTAGATGTTATGATGTTTGATATGAAATTATGGAATAAATATTTTATAAAATTATTTGACCTTATTCTCAGGGTTTTACATTTAAAAAAAGAAAAAGTCGGATCAAATTTAAAATATTAGGAGAAAAATATTTTAAATCATAAGTATAAAATACACTTTATTTAAATTTCTCAAAAAATAAGCGAAGTAACATTTTATATTTCTACCAAAAACATAATTATAATTATTTTAAAACTAGAAGATTCGAGTGATTCTTCGGTATGAGTCCGGTTTAAAGGTTTTTGGGTATTTAAATTATTATCTCCAGAGATATTAGCATCGTTTTCTTGATCTATTGTACAGCTTATTTTATCCGTGCAATTGGAGAACGATTTTTCGGTCATTTTTTGAAGTTGAATTGCTGCGATCTCTATAGAGATTTAATATTTTTTTATAAAATAGAAAGAAAATATTTAAATAAACAAGATTATAAAACAAATTAAAAATAAAATTAGTATAACCGATAAAATTATTAATATAAGAATAGAAATGCAGACAAAGAATTGAAAAAATAGATATAAAAGAAAATAGATTTAAAAAGATAAAATAAACATATTTCTTTGTCGAAATCAAGCAATAGAATTATATTTTGAAGCATTCCTTTTTGAATTATATTACTCACAAATCTAAGTAAAATAATTTAGCCATACCTCTATTTTTAAATTAAAATAATCATCAAATTTATAATATTAATCTATTATAACAATAAATTTATGAAATAAAATACTGGTTTTATATTTGTCATCCTTCGTTTAATATCGAGTATTCTCTTTTTTAGTTGAATTGCCTCTTTAATTCTAAATAAGGAACTAAAGCTTTACTTATTCGGGAATATTTATCCTAATTTCAAATTTTTTCCTTTAAACCGTTTTCCCTGCATCTTGACAATATGCCATAGATTTTCAATAAGATTGAGGTTTACATTAGAAGGGTAAAATCAATTAAAAGTTATAGAATAGTGGCAAGAGAATCTGTTCTGTGGAATAAGGCTGACTTTGGAAAATAATAATCAGGAGGGTGGAAGTAGATGTTGTAGAATTTTCTTATATTTTTTCAGAGTTAATGATTATCTTCAATAAAATAGAGTATATCTTCTCCATTTTTTGTCATGGATATCCATATCATAATTCTGGTAATTCTGTAGGATATTTCCAACCGACAACGTGATTCGTCGCAAAAAAAGAATTCCTTAACAAGAGGGCATAAAAGTGCAAAATTTTATATTTCTATAGGCAGGGGCATATCCTAAAAATGCCCCCCCCCTGTAGATACGGTCCTGTTTACACTACTGCTTAAATTTAACATGGATATTCTTATCCTTGACTTACCTTCGTCTTACAAATTAAATAATGATATTATGAATATCTGAGCTGAAAAATTTTACTCTGTGAATAAATATACATTTACGTTCAAATAAAAATGTTACAATATATCAATTTTACATACAATTATATATTCTATGGTACTAAATCGGCGTCTAATTGTGAAACGCGCCGCGTTAGAGAAGAACTTGAAAGGTAGAACTAATCATTTTATTATTTAGTATATTTTAATGTAATAAATGAATTTATATTTTAAATTACAAACAAGTTTAATAAATTTATTTAACAATAGGAGTTTAGGCAAAGTTAAATATACAAGGATAGAGTTACTTAGGTTGGGCTTAAATAATACTAATTTAGTAGAAAGTTTATAAAATTTCTTAAATGGTAATTTAAATGCTAGATTTATGAAAATTTTAATAGAAAGTAATTTAAAAAACAAGAAAGATAAGAAAAATGTGTATATCTTAAAATTCAAATTACACCTTTATCCCGTTCTTTAATAAAGGACTCCAATTTGGCCCATTCAGCGTAATTGTATTCGTAACTTTGTTTGGAATTTTTAAGAAGCGCAGTTCTCTCCTCAGTAGTGGAAGAAAAATGGTAATATTCCAGCAAAAAGGGCCATATCTTGATCGGGACATTTTAATATCATATAATTAAAATATTAAGCACTAAAGTAAGGATAAAATATAAGAGGAAGGGAATTTCTCAAATTTTCAATAGACTAATGTTCCTTACTAACATAATGACCAATGATCAAATCTATATTAATAAATTCGTAACTGTGTAAAACTATGGGCAAAACAGGAAACACTAAAAAAATTTGTTTCTCAAGCCAAGGCGATATTTGTATGAAAGTATTTTTTTTTATTCCCCTTAAAATATGGATATAATTTGTGGTTAAATGTAACTCGTTTAGATGTTTAAATATTAATTCTATTCAGTTTAAAACTTTTTGTTTATATAATGACATACCAAAAAGATATACGATTCTCTAACTGAATTTCAAGTTTATATATCTATGTAAAGAAAAATAATTATAAATTTCTTGAGGGTCCTGTGATAGTTTATCATTATATATCAGGAATAACTACTTTCGAAAAAACTTTCTATTGATAATTTTATAATTCGGACATAGATGATATAATGGTATAAAACCGTTCTATGCTATAAAATGATTGATGGTCAATTACTATCATTCCTTTTAAATTTAGAAATATTAAAGGATTTGGGATCGTAATCCTAACAAAACGCATGAAAAGGTTTTTTTTTAAAAATAACAGTTTTATCCGATTTTTTAAACGGTTAACCTTAACTATAATTTGTTGTTTAATGGTGAAAAGTAAAAAAAAATAGAGAGTCTAAATCAAACCAAGTGAGGCGATTTTAAAATATTTTTTAATCATTACTGCGTTTTATATTTCTTAGAAACTAAAGCTCTTATCAAACCTATTTCCCAGGTCCGGACGAGGAAAAAAATCATATTATTTTGTTTAATCTGATTTTAGAGGGTAAAAGGTTCGTAGGTCTACAGTAAAAATATGGGCAATCCGTTTCGAATAGAAGATTTTGTGGCGGCTCCTTGGATTTCAATCATACTCGGTATAAGCAAGGTACCATTAATGCGTAAATTTTTCCCAAATTTTAAATTTTAATCTAGCTCCCGGGTAGAGATATGATCTTTCAAATTAAAAAAAAACGAAATATTGACTTTTTTTAATTATAAATTGAAATCCGAAGGGGTTACTATAAATCGTCTGGATTTGACATGGAATTGACCACATATATTTAGAGCATTCAAACCAAGAAGCTCTAATGTCATTATTCTAATAAATCTTAATACCATTTTGATTAAACTATAAAGTAAAAGTAATATAGTATATAAAATATAGTATATAATCATAATAGAGCCACAATATTATTGTAATTATTTTACAAAATGATAGTCTAACCTAATGGTATTTTACAGTGCATTAGCATACCACCATATAATATATTTCAAAGACCTGCAGGCCCGGCCTAAGTCCAGCAAGGCCGTATTTTAATTTTTTTAAATAGTCCCATTTCCCTTTCCTCCATCTTATTGGTTTTTATATCTTAATTAGTCTGCATGCCTAATCATTGTATATTCTTCTGCTACTACCTCATAAGACAATGATCCAACTATATATTTAATCTTTCAATTTTCCTTTTATTTATTGAATCTTCTCGACCCACCTCTTTCCTCTATTTCTACTATGATTTCTTATTTACAAGAGTCCTTTTCAAGGAATTGGTCTAGTAGCACTTGGGGTTTGATCATTAGTATTAATTCGGAGGGCTCTGATTATTCTCTGCTCCCGGTATAATGAAGTTTTTATTTTTTAGAAAGGGGCGCGTCCCATATGCTATATTGGCGTCCTAACTTATCCATCCCAACAATTTTTATGGAAAATAAAATTTTCAAAATTCATATAATACTTCATTTATATATTTATCACATTATTATATTATCGCTCGACTTTTGAAGTTCCTGTTTTTCCCTAAACTGATTGACCAAATTGAAAGAAAACTTGGGAAAAATAATTCCTTTAATATTTTTTTATAAAAATAATTTAATTGGATAATGTGTTTTTCGACAACATCAAAATACAATTAAAGCAAAGGTAATCAATTATAAACAAGCTAATTGATAATTGCTCCAGGTGACATTTAAAATTTTCTGTTTTTATCTTAAATTAATTATATTTTTAACATTATAAAAGCATGACTTTAACAATTAATAGAAAAAAATATAGAAGTAAAATTTTAATAATAAAAATAAGATGCATGTATGATTTTTATTAAATTATTGCTTCTAGGTATCATTAATCCAAGTAAGGAATATAATAATGATTGAATAATTATATTAATTTATGTGAGTAAGCAAAAATCGATATCAAGACAACATTTTTTTCAAATTTTTAAGATAAACACAGTATTTATCCTTTTTTTTCAAAAATGTTAATTGAAGCATTCCCATAATCTAGCGAAGGTATTAAATAGCAGATAAATTATATTTTCAAATTTTATTATTGTTCAGATATTTATTGACACCTATCATATCATCTTTTTTGGCAAAGAAAGTAGAATTATTAATATTAAATGCACTTTTTCGCGTAGATTATCCTGAACACCGCCCATGTATATGGCCCCAATCATCAAATCCGGGTCTATTATCTAGATTAATATTTTCAATATTTAGAAAAATCATTCGTAATAAAAAAGTTAATAATAAATCATAATTATTAAAAAACTTTGGAAAATTCAATTTCACAAGAATATTCTGGCGCAATAAAATAAATATTGTTTGAATAATTATTTTAAAATTACATTGAAATTTAATTTTTAATTTAAATTTTAAACATTAGTTCGTTATAAAAAGTTGAAAAATAAAATTATTAATATTAACCCTGGAGTCAGTATCCTGTATGAGGGTTAACAATTCCTTAGTTAGTCCATTTTTGCAAAGCTCTTCTCTTTCAACGTATTTGACATACCTTGACCAAGGATAGACTAAGTGAGACAATTGATTTCTAACAGCTCTTATGTGTTTGCAATAGCTCAGCCCTTTATGCATTAAAATATAAGACTTATTATTATGAAATTAGTATAATTCATGATAAGAAACAATGATAAATTAATAACAATAAAAATTATATTTTAAGTCGTAATGATATCTAAAAATTCTATAAAATAATATTTTTTAAATTAAATTTTATAATATGATGATTACATCCGATAAAAGCACGTGTCGTTATTTGTTTTTTCATAGTTTCGCATAACTGTTGCATCGATTCCCTAAAATAATACAGAAAAATTACAAATTTATGATAAATTTCATTGTGCCAATATCTTGTTTGCGCTATCATTCTATTGAAATGATCAGAAACCAAGATTCTGATTTAATTTTTACGACTAGGTTCTACTTTTCTAGCAGAACAGAAAAAGATAGAAAAAAGAATAATCTAGCAAGCCTGGCTCATATGATGACATGATTTATTATAAAAGAATTTAAATTAATACGAGTCTCACTCACTTTCATAATTATATTTTTATATAGAATTATTCGCTTATTTAACAATATAGTTTTATCTAACTCACTTCGATTAATCTTGGATAATTTTTATAAACACATTGTCATTTGGAACATTATAAGAACTATAATATATTACATAAAAAATATTATTTCAAAAATAGCTTTAGTATTTTATGTAGATGGGTGCAGAAAACTTTAAGGAAAGGATTTTGGACCTAATTGGATTTCGATCAAAAATAGTTATAATAAATTATTGATATAAAACCTACTTTCAAGCTCAAGTGTGTTAATCTTGTAATTAATTTATAAATGGCGAAATACCTAGCCAGTAATAATTTTTTGTCTTGTGATGTGGCGTTATCGTTAATACTGATGGTTTGTGACGATGTATTCAGTTTTTCATCAGCGTGACATAAATATTTTATATTATTCTATAAAAAAAATAATAGGTAGGTTGTATATATACAATATAAGATGATATTTCGCATATACATAGTTGTTTATTTCATTTTTTGGCTTGGGTTTACATTTTTTTAATCTACTATTTAAAAAATTGATCTACAGATTTGGCTTAAACCGGGCTGGCAGCTTTCAAAAAAAATACAGATATTTACCCCAATTTCAGCATTTTCTACTCTTCCATCACCTTCTAGTTCGTTTTCTTCTTCCTCCAAATCATTTGTTCCGACACAAAAAATCTCTTTATTTAATTTTCCGTTTAAGAATACATTATCGGATTCGTATTTGTCAATGCTGGGATATACAAATTGATTGCCTAATTGATGACCATAGCATTTTAAATAATAAAATATAGGATATATAAATTATTGGAAATGCATTGATGCCGAGATAATACATTGTAGATTTTTTAGTCTAAATATTTGGTATACCAAAAATAATGAATCAAATAAGATATTTATAGAATAATTAAAATTAGATATGTAGAAATTATTTAATTTTATTTGTACATAATAATTTATTCTTATTGTCGAAAAACAAATCATTTGATTGATTGATTAAAAAAATCTAAATTTTATTATAATATAAATTATGTGTGTATATCCATGCCAAATCACTTAAAAAATCAGATAATTAATCCGACCCTTTCAAAATTTTTGTAGAGGTAGCATATATCATTCAACTAAGAAGAAAATTGACCCTCAGATTCCGAAGGGCTGAGTTATAGACTTGTAAAAGTGGAAATTTTCAAAAAAATATCTTATTTAATTTTAAATAGCATAATTTAAATTAAGCATATTTAAAAATGAAAAATATTATTATATAGCGTAATAAACAAAATAATTTCAACGTCAAAGAATGAAATTAAAAAAAACGAAAGTGATCATAAAATCTAATTGGCATTATTCTTGCTTTCAAGATTTTTATGGAAAGGGAAAGTTTGGAAAAGACATAAGTGATGCTTGTTTGATAAATTGTGAATATCGTGAAAGATGATAGTCTAGATAAGGTAGTTTTGGATATTGAAAATGGATGGAAGTTATTAAGTATAGTTTTGTTACGTATATAATATCCTAAGCACAGATGGAGACGTTGACTCGGCGGTTGTGGCAAAGAATCAGATATGCATCGAAGAAGTTTAAAGAAATGCCACCGATTCTAACGGATAATAATCTCTTGTTAGCTAGTAAAAGTTTATGAATATGATGTAAGAAAATGGCTGTCGTCAAACCATTTGCTTAACAACGACCAAATTTTGTCAAAATATAATAAGACTCACTTATTTTTTAATATATGTTATGAAAAATGGATTTGGGAATATTAAAAAGAACGCTGAGGAAGATTGGGAGAAATGATTTACTGTGTTATTGATAAAAAAAAATATTTTTTTAAATTTACTGGCAAAAAAATATGGCTTAATTGAAACAACCTCTAATATCACCATTATTTTCAACGGATTCGATCGAAACTTCTTGAATATGTTTTGAATCTTGGTTGGATATGATTCGAAAAATGTAATCAAAATCAGCAACGGCATCTGATTGCCATTCTTTATCTATAGGGGAAGCATCGGGTCCTGTTATGCTATCGAGAGATCTTGGCGTTTTTAACTAAAGGAACAAATTGGGGGTTGGGAAGAAGTTTTTAAAAAAAATTCATATTGATGACATTATTTTAATAATTTTTTTAAAAAATGTTAAATAACCACGCTTTTACTGAAATATCTCAAAAAAGATGGCGAATAACATTTAAAAATGGAATATATTATCAACATTTAAAATCAAGGGGGTCACTAGACTTTTCAGTTTATCGTGGCTAGAGGTTTGCTCAGTTTCTTAATGATATTATGACATATATATAACCAATATTTTCTTAAATATTTTTGATTCTAATCTTTTTATAACAATTATTTGTTAAGGCAGCATCCAAAAGTTTTTTAAATTTTTATAATTTCAAGGAAACATAATGTGGAAGTCTTGAAAATTTCATAAAACTTAAAAAAATGTTTTGTCCGCGTTTTTTATAAAAAAAGACTTATTTCGTGTTTTTCAATAAAGTTTTCGAATTGTATTTCTGAATGAAGCACCAGAACTTTCTACATAGTCCCTAGCTTGTATTGTTTCAAATTTTTTAAAAAGTTCAGCAGATAAAATAAAATTACAAACGCTTCTTATTTTTTAGGCAGAACATACAATTATAAATCTTTAAATACAATTATTGTTTTTTAGAGGACCATTTATGTTTTTCCTACTTTTTTTTAGCTTTGTTTTTATATGTATTTTAATAATAGTTGAATGTATTGCAAAGAGGAATTAGATGAGATTATATTAAAAATTTTTTAATTAAAGGTTCAAAAATTGATAGGTATTAAGATTGTGGTAAAAAATGTTTATGGTAAGGCAAAAAATTTCTAAGCAGTGAAGGCCGAATTTAAAAGGTTATCATTGGGAGTGATGAAGATATGATTGCGTTGTTCATTCAAACGTAATGCTATAAATAAAGACAAAGATAAGAGGTTTAATGGATATAAATATGAACCACTCATTTTAGAAGGTAATTAAAAGAAGCCCCGGTTAAAGTATCTCAATTTAATTTTAAAATATTTTTCAACATATATTTAAAAACTTCATGAAAACGATTAATAATTTCATATTAAAAAAAAGAAAGAGAATATAAAAATTGTAAAATTTTTTGTAAAAATGAATATTTTTAAAAGAAAAACTTTGGTGTCAAAATATTTCTTTTAAAATATTTTCCAATCCTTATACCTTTAAAAAAAACTTGTCCATGAACAACTCATAGTTGGGGAAACCATTTAAAGATGAACTAAGAAGGTCTATTTCATTTTCTTTAATAATTATAAATCCAATGATTTCGAGGGGATTTGAATTTAAAAAGTATATTTTTTTTATAAATTCAGCTCTATAATTTCTATTGTTGCCAAAAAAAATGTAGGTGGTCCGCAGATGGTGCTATCATCTAGACCATATATTTATTTTAAGACTTCAATATGGAAGATCCTTTTCATAGAACGAATAAAGGTTATATATAATATATACAAATATTTAGTTTCATCAGAAAGTTTTTAATACGATCTCAATTCTGATTGATAAAATCAGAAGCTTCACAGAAAATGCTGTTTACATATAAACCGTCTGATTTTTGTAGAGACTGATTAATGATTAACATTAGAACACAAAGAGAATATTTAATAAAAAACAAAATAAAATAATTTCAAATTAATAAAATATGTATAATAATCCACTAAATATTATCTCCATTTTCTGAATAGGATATTATTGGCGGATATGTATCTTTTACCGCCTCTAAAATTCTAAGATGTGAATTCTATCATGTTTTCAAGGCATCTATATTTTTTTTAATTTTCAGTCATAATTTACCCTACATTTCCCTAAATTTACTTTGGTGAATAATAGTTAAAAAAAAACTGTTTTAAAACACTAAAAGAATATTTTGGTTTGGGGCACGCAATTACATTTTGATATAAGTATCATATTTAGCTTATGGGCATAGCAAAAGCCTCCTACGTGGGATCACAGGCATATATTGTCATTGCATGCTTCCCTGTTGTTTTTGCAATCCATAAAGATTGCCTTACATCAAGCTTTAGCCATGCCTGTGTCTAGGCCTAAAACGAATTATTTGTTATTTGATATTCGATTCGATTCAATTCGATTCGTATTTTACGAATACGAATAACACAATTATTCGATTCGAAATTTCGAATCGAATATGAATAATGAGGAAAATTATTCGTATTATTCGAAATTAATTATATATAAATATTCGTAATTATTCGCAAATATTTTATTGCAAGTAAAATAAAAAGAAGTAATTAAATTTTCCTAGTGGATATCATTTCGTTTTATTTTATTTCCTATTATCAAATGTCAAATCATAACAAGTTATATTTGCTGAAAAAGTTTAATGGAAGAAAAGGAAAAGCTTCAAAGGAAAATATAATTATTTTATTTTGATTGTTTCTCTTTAATCATTTTTGATGTTATTGAACAAGTCAAAACATTTTTATAGAGTGTGCCTCTTTCCCATATTCTCGAGCTCCTGGCAGATAAATAACTAAATTTTTTTGACTAGTTCTTATTATTTGATTAGGAAAATCCTTTTCCCATTTATTAACCTTATTTTTGGCAAATTTTAAAGACAATCTAATTCAGATAGTGCATTATAATATCTTCATCCTCTATTACATTGTCATAATCACCTCTAAAAATTATATTAATAATTAAATAAAGGAAATTTATGCTACGTATTTGTATATATTAAATAAAATCTATAATGAAATACTTTCTAAAATTTTGATATATTTTATATGCAAATATTTAAAATGTATATATTTTAAATAGATTATAATTTTAAAAATTTTATTTTGTCAAATCAACATCAGTTAACCCAATAGTACAGTCGAATATGGATAGATTTTTGTACATATCTTAACGAAATAAGAATCAGTTCAAATAAGAGTCCCTTAGAATGGTGGAGATTGCATGGGGATCGTTTTCCTGTGTTGTCGAAAATGGCACTGATATATTGTCAATTCAGGGATCTTCGGCTTCATGTGAGCGGTTATTCTCAATATAAACAAATATGATAATGAAAAATAGAATGTCTTTGAAGGAGGAAACTATTAGAAAGACTTTATGCTTAAAAAATTGGATATTATCATATTCGGATTTACTATATATATTTTTGTGTATTATTTTCTATTTTTATAAAATGAGATTATTGTACATTTTTATAAAATTTTAATATTAGATTTAAGAAATAGTTTAAATATTTTTTTATAAGCAATTCTAATTCTAAAAATCGGATATTTTGGTCAATTTGTTTGGTTAACATTATATGAAATCATTGGGTTTTATTTCGTTTATTTTCTATAAATTTTTATATTGTAATGACAATTAGTTCAGAGAATCCTTAAAAATGTCATCTTTAAACATCTGTAAAATTTTTTTTTGCAAAATATTTTATAAGCTATAGAAAAATTTTCGAATCGAAACGAATAATGATTTTATTATTCGTACGAATACGAATAGCGCAATTATTCGATTCGTTATTTTGTAGGCCTACCTGTGTCACACATTCGCTTATTGAATTTTGTCGCAAATGTTTAATAATAGTATTAGTTAGTAATTTCGCATCCAAGTCATCTACCTTACCAAAAAAAATTTTTACCTAGACTCTTCTCTTTGACATATCAGATAGAATACTAAGTTGTCCATAAGAACTGATATCAAAAGTAGCATCAGCTTTAACAGATTCATTAATTTTGACTCCAAGCTGTGCCTATTATTAAATTTTAAGTCATTAAAAGGGTCATTCATTTTCTTCAAAACATGATAATATTTCACAATAATAAATTTTTTTAGTTTTATCACTAAATGTATCTGGTACAACAGATTAAAAAATTATATTATATCGATTGATAGGAATTATTCAGAAGATTGATCTGACTGGCGATTGATATCATTATTTGCTAATTGTTTTATATGATTTAAAAATTTCTCGAAGTAGTTTAAAATATTAATGTTTTGAGAATTTATTTATGATAATTAATTTGTTTTCAAACGGGTCATAGGATTATTTTTTAAATCTTTGCAATAAAATTGTTTATCAGACAAAAAATAAAAATCGCAACATTAAATTCTAAAAAATTTGACTAGGCTTGAGCCCCCAATAACACCTTTTATTGACGAAACTGGTTAGGATTAATGCCAAGTAGTGATCTGCATCAGGCCTAATTTTTCAAGCCCAGCCCGATCCGAAATTTTTTTTAAAAAGTTTTACCGGCCCGGCCCGAACCGGAAATTTTTTTTAAAAAATTTACCGGCCCGAATTTATTTAAATATAGAAATTAATTTTTATAATTACTCAAAATAAAAGACATATGTTATATGTCGTTTAGTTTCAATAAATAAAATCAAATATTTTTATTTTACATAAAAAATTCAATATAAAATTGAGAAATTTAGATATATTTTAAAAAAATTCCAAGATCCGACCCGACCCGGCCCGATTATTTTAAATAGAATTAGGCCCGAAGCCAGTTCGGGCCGGGCCTAACTTTGCATATCTCTAATGCCAAGTTCTAGTTTGTATTTATCGGACATTTTTGAGATCTTGAAATTAGGCAATTCAAACTAGGATTAGAGCCCCGCACTGATGTGTTCGAACTCAATACGACGAATTCGGATAGGTGGGACAACAGACTCAGCTGGGCCGAACCTTAACTTTGACATTAAAATTTAAGTTGGGCAGGATCTTGTTTTCCTAATGATTTTATAAATATTTAGCAAAATTATTTTTCTATTAGTGCGTTTAATTTTTCCGTCCTCCCTTAAAAAAATCGTTTTTTTTTCTTATTCCAATATTTTTATTTTTTCTGATCGCTTCTAAAATAAGAGTTCGGATCAAATCGAACTCGTATTTTAAAAATAATATTCGGAACGATTGGACAATTTTTTTAAAAATTTTTCATAAAAAGACCAGGACCAATAAAATAGGAATTAGATATTATTCTTTATCATAATGAATATTAAGAAACAAATACTATTTATACAAGAGGCAAAACCTTTTTGAGATGGGTGAGGTGATCGGTTGATTTATTCTCCTCCGATAATTTACTGAAGAAAAAATGCCGTTGCAATTTGGAAGCCGAGTCCATTTTTATCATTTTCCCGATGATTTCTTTTTTCTTTCCACGTTCATTTTTAGGGTTGAACTTGGGAAAAATTTTGCCTATAAAAATCAAGTTTTGATTGAAAAAGCTCTACATTTTTTTTACCTTGTAAATCATTCCAAATTCTACGAGTATCATTTTAAATAATGATACTTTAGGGCTTGGAATGATACTATATGAGGTAAAATGCTAATGCTATATATGTTCTTATTTTTTATAATACACAAATATAAAATTATATTTAATTATTTTTAAATTTAGAATAATTAAATTTTTTTCTAAAAGAATGATGTAAGTTTTTAAAAGAATATTTTTTACTTTTTACGTTACTTTATATTTTATTCAATTTGTTTTATTATTGTTTTGTTTAGGTCTTATACAAAAAATTAAATAGATAATAAAAAAACAAATATAAAACCGAATTTTTAAATATCTTATTTCATTTTTCTCAGCTGTTATTTCTATTGGTTTGGAATAGTGTTGTTAAAAAGCCCGATTAGGATCGATTTTTCAAAACGGCCCGATTAAGATTTTAGTAAAATAATATTATATAAGCATCGAGATTTGGAAAATAGATGTCCAAGTATTTCTGCCAGCTATGAACAAAATCTTTGGGTTTACATAAAAAAAATCGACCCGAATCTACTTTTTAACAAAACTAGTTTGGATTCTAATTATATTAGTGTAATGCTTTTGAGGATAATATCAGAATATTTCTGATGACTCAGGTGATGAACAATCAAAATCATTCCAAAAAAAGATGCATCTTTAAAATAAAATACCAACCTGTCATTCTCGACACCTATTCAGGTGTTCAGTACAGCAGAGCGGTATTGAGAGATAAACTATATTAAATTTGAAAAACATTCACCGTTGAAATCGGTTTAAAAAAATAGATCACGGTGTATTTATAGCATAATATTTTTACAGATAACGTGTGTAACGTTATTTTTTTTGAATAAGTCCAAAGCTCTTTTTTTCTAGTTAGGATCAAACATCCATTCCGTCTTTAACAGGATAGATCATGTAAAAGTTATGAGTAATCAGGTTTGTAAATGGCTCATTTTATGGGTACGGGGGTTTCAATTACTTTATAAAATCATTCTCAATTTAAATAACTTATTTATCCAAAGATCTTAGGCATATTTAATTTTTTAAGAAATTTTTTACTTTTAAAAATTAGACTTTTGCAATAATTTGATATTCCGTATTTTCGATATTTGTTGGAAGGCGAGACGCTATGTCGGAACGGGACGTGGCATAAGAATGCTAATACGGAATGGACGTTTGGCATTATATAAAAATATTCTTTCTTTCTTTTTCCGATAGAGGAGAGCAATCAAGTAGAAAATTTAAAGAATATATATCATAAATCTTATTTTGCGATTAACGACTTATATGCTTTTCGTGACAAATTAATGAGTTTAAAATAATAGATATAATAGCTATTGTCACTATTAAACACTATAAATTAATAAATTAATAACGGCATAAGGTACACCAAACCTTTTAAATCATGATCCCACAAAGGAGGGTCTAATTTGAAATTCGGAGCTAGGCAATTTTCTAAACAAGCTAAAAAGGTTAACAAGTGACTACCTTTGGGGAAAAACAGGGGTGGAATTTGAACACCGTCATGGCGGATCAATATTATGCTATCGTTGGAATCGGCTAATTTGTCATATTAAATTTTTTTAAATAGAAATTGAATATTTTATAAATTTCTTAATTTATAGAAGAGAATATGCGAGCAAGATAATAAAAAATTACTTTCGCTAATAAAAACTAAATGGACAGGTAAAAAATTTTTAAAAAAATGATCATAATCAAATTCTCATTATTATCTCATTTTGAAAAAATTTGAAGTTTAAAAAAATCATTACAATATATAATTACATTAAGTTTCTTTTTTCAACATTAAAAAAAATCAATATTAATTACCGTCATAAAAAGAATATGTGTTATATTTATTTTTCTTAGAAAATTGAAATAGAATAAGAAAAAAAACAATCAAGATTAAGATAAAGCTATAAAATAAATTTTATTAAAAAAATGTTCATTTTCGGAGAAAACAATATACAATAATTGAATGTTAATTAATCCAAACTTAGTAGAGGATAAGACACTTGTAATTAATACTACATTGAAAAAATTATCAGTATATTATATTTATTCAGCGTATATAATAGATACTGCGTAGAGGCCATTTCTTCTTTTTAGAGATTTCTTATAAATTATTCTAGTTAATAATATATATTAATTTTACATTTCTGGTGACAATGCACGTAAAGCACTTCTCTAAGATCAACCGATAAAGCTTCAACTATTCCTCCCTCTTTTCCCATTCCTTCCCTATCCTTTTCTCGTTTCTTATCTCCAATTACTCCAACATTATTAACAGCATTGTATCCATTCCTCGTCGTTTGGCTACTTATTCCAAGTCCTCCATCGTTGCTCGAGGCCCAAAATCGCTTCAAACCTATCGCTTTAACGTCGTCTAAAATGGGTCGTTTATCGTGCTCTTTTTCGTCTTTCTCTAGTAAAGCGTTAGGGGTCCATTCGAGCCTTAATGTTTTGAAACCCGCTTTTTTATTATTTCTGTCTCCGCAATTAATTTCTGTTTTGAGGGCTAAATAACCGGCTTCCCCAGTCGTGCCTGTCACTACGTTGTTTTTGCCGTAGCATTGTGAATCACTATAGTCGTGGGTAGGATTGTGGTTACAACCATCTCTCTTAGCCTTGACCTTGGACCGTTCAATTAGCTCACTAGCACTTAGTTCCCCACTTGACCTAAATGGGAAAGATGTAGAATTATGAGGTATGTATTTTAAAGCTAGAGCGGGCCCAGCTATAAGGGTGAGTAGCAGTGGTCCCAGGGCCGGGTCTGCAGCTAAAGCGAACCTTTCATAATAATCGGAAGCGTATTTTTCTATTTGTTCAACGACCGGCGTAAGTTGTTTGTGCACGAGGGCCGTTTTGATCCAAGTGTATTTAATTGACATGGAATTGGAATGGAAGGTGTGTGATGTAGAGGACGTTGTACTATTTATGGTATTGATGAAAGGGGAACAAGGTGTAGGGGGAGGTGGAGATGTATCGACTGTGGCATGGGATGAAGAAGAAGACGAAGATGAAGTGTTGGTGGTTGTTGTTGAAGAAGATTGGGACCGTGAATATGAGAAAGGGAAGCGTTTTCTTAAGAAACAAAAAATAATATTTCGAGTAAAAATCTATGTAATTTCAAAATTAAAAAATGGAAGAAATGTAAAACTTGACTTTAACATGATAAATATTATTATTTGAAAAAAATTATGATGCAAAAATATAAACACGAAATAAAAAATAAAAAACGTTATTATCTAAGGGCGCAGACAGGGTAAAATAGATGTGTTTCTGTATAGTAAGTATTTTTGATCAATTTTACAGAAGATCGATATTAAAAGATATCATATCTGTTTTAAATTTTATATATTTAAAGTTAACTTTGGCTTTTTTTAAAAAGAATACTTTTAATTTCGTCTAAATTAAAAAAATATGAAGGTAATAGCCATATCCCTGTCAAGGTCTCTCGATCCGAAACCGGGCTGTGACCTCTACTATGAAAAATGATTATATATAAAATGAAACATTATAGTATTAATACTTGATTTATAACTTTGTTAAACTAACACTTCGGAGAATAAAAATTAATTTATATAAAAACAATAAGATAAGATAATCATTAATACAAAAACGATCATGGTTCTGTATGTTCGCAAAATGTCGCTATCAACATTTTGGTTATCAATATATAATTTATAAATAAAATAAAATTTATTCTAAAATATAATATAGAGCGAAATTTATTTAAGCTGGGCTCTTGATAATTTGAGAAATGATTTGATCAAAATTTGCTATAAGCAACTTCCTTATAAATATTATTCACCTTAAATGGGATTGAAAAATTGAAAAATATAAAGTATGTATAACTCAGATTCTGTCGGATCGGTAATTGGCCGCTATCAGAGCGACCTCCAAAAAGTGGTATCAGTATGCTAGTCCTCTGAATTGGTATATAGTATGCGTGGGATTAATTTAGCTATTTCTGGCGTGTAAATTAATCAATGACGACAAATTGTGTATAAAAAGAGAGAGAAATAAAATAGATATATGGTAGTTTAAATTTTCCTTAAGGCACTTTGCTGATATTGTTCATTGAGTATACTTCCACGACTATTTTTCGGTGGCTAGTCATATCCAAGAGATATTGACAAGTTATAGTTTCAATACTTTTATCTATATCTACTTCCTCTTTAGATAGGATAATCGCAATCTGTCTTTATAAATATTATATTCTCCCTGAAAATATAAGGCAAGTTTTGCAAAACATCTTGTGAGAAAAGTATTCGCAGAATTATCTTTTGTGGAATTCTATATTCTCGGTAATGGTTTAACAGAATTGATGTGCAACCCCTTGAAAATGAATAGGACCTTGCTAAAAAAGATTTAGAGGATGAGTAAGATATGTTATATAGTAAGTGCAAGGGCACCCATGGGCTAACCCAGAAATTAATAAATTACGGATATTCTGTCAGATGTTTTCAGGTCTAATGTTCTTGCTGGACCCAAGTTTTGATAGAATTATAGCCAATCAATGGGCATTAGATATGAGATCGTTATATAAAATCTGTCAACAAACCAGAGACCATCATGGGTCGGGCCGGTGTATGGGCTTAATATTATATTTTCTAACGAGCGTTGGTTTTTGAAAAAAAACTTAGTTGTCTTGGGCTTAAAAAAATTTTCATTTAAATTTAGTTAATTTATAACATATGTTAACTTAAAAAAATAATGCAATTTATATGGGCTCGGGCCGGCTTGAGAATTTTTTTTAATATTAAATATGAGCCGGGCTTTACTGCCGGCCAGATAAAAAATCCAGGTCCATGGGTCCCTGCAACAAACACAATAGATTTGTTTGCAAATTGCAATCAATGCGGGTTTTACTGTTTTTAAAATCAGTTTCGTAGTAGAGCTATAGGCCAATTGCGAATATCAGCACAATAGGAGTCATTTGACCATTATTATAATCAGATAACTCAATTCCATATCGAGTTGAATCAATACTTTAATTGAATACGAATACTATATTATTTTTATCCATCGTCCATAGAATATGAATATTTGATTTAATTTTTAAAATATTCGAAAAGAATAATAAAATTTTTATCAATATTACGAAATTTAGAAATCTATAAACAATCTAAAATACAAAAATTTAACCTATGAAATATGTTGATTTTGAAATGGTAACTTATTAGACTTCATTTAAAGTATTTTATATGTAAAGTAAATACCAATAATTTAACTTTTTTATAAATACAACTAAAGTGAACAATATTACAAAAATAGCTATCACAATGAGAATAATTGTGATTTATCTTATATATTTGATTATAATATGAAAGTGTAAGAATAACAATAATATGCCTTGTTGCAGTTAAAAATACATTAAAAATTACTAAAAAAAGATGTTATGAATGATTCAATTTTAAACCGGTAAATTTCATGTATATTGATAAGTGCACAAATGAATATTTGATTTATATAACTACCTCATACATTATGTGTACTTGAAAAACGAATCAAATTATTCTAATATTCGTTTTGAGGTTTAATTATTAATAAAATTCTGGTGTAAAATTATAATATTTTAAAGTACAATGTCTTGTTCAATATGGTAAATCTTCCTATTAGATCATTTAAATTATTATTTTGATTAAGGCTAGATAATTATTGATAAATGATTGATTTCAAACTTATACATTTTATTAAATTAAATCAGTGTTGTAGTTATCGCTATGAGAGGCAACAATATGCTCAGCACTAGTGTTGTTAAAGTTACTTTTAAAACATAGCTAGTTACAGTTACTAGTTACATTGGTAAAAATATAACTAGTTACCTTTTTATAAATGTAACTAGTTATTAGTTACAGTTACATTATAAGTTACTTTTTGGTTCTTATAAATTTTAAAATGGTCTATTAATTCTAAAAATAGATTTCAGGTTATGTATTAAGAATTAATGATTTTTTCACTCAAATATTTGCAAATATGATATTTATATATACAGTTGTTGCAAATTATTTAAACTTATTGCAAATATATATTTTTTAATGTTAATTCAAATAGAACTGTATAATATTGGAGTTTTTTTTGTCAAGAAAATTGTGATAATAAGAATAATAAGGGAAGGGTATTAGATAATTTATTTTTTATTTAATTATATATGCATTACTTTAGATCATAGAATTTACCTATTTTTTTAGAAGGCAAAAAAATCCTGAACAAAAGGATCATGACAAAAATACCTTAAATAATTCCCCAATTTTCAAAAAAATTGAATTAGCCTAAAGAATTAAGGCTATTTGATTAATCTTTTGTTGAAGGAAATGATATTTGATATCTGCATTATAATATTTTGTTTGTCTTTCATAGTCTTTGTCTTTTCTTGTTAGTAAGTATGATGACTAATTTAGCATTTTATACAAAAATTATTTAATTCCAAAATAATCTAAATCTTTGTCTTTCCTTATACTAAGTTTTATGCTCTAATTTAGTAAAATTTAAAAAAAATACATTTATAACTTATGAAATTCCAGAGTATAAATATTGCCAGCAACTTGAGGGCAAAAAATATCGAAAATATTGTGCTAAATTTGTAAGGAAATATAATATTAAAAAATAGGTTTATTACTTGAATTTGGTAACAAAATTATAAAACCCAGCAATGTAACAATTTGAGAAAAGAAAATCTATTTGGACATATCCTTTGCGAACTCAATCAGACATTTAAACAAAATTTTAAATTTAATTTAAAATTAATTTAGCACAAAGCTAGTCCCTTGGAACCAAGGTATACCCTACGCTTGGAATTATACATGAGTAGATCGTTTTGCCAGATCTTTTTATTTCAACTCTATCACGAAAGCTGAAAATACAAAAACAAATAAATATAGCCACTTTTGTTTTTTCTGGTAGTCTCAGACACCTGTGGATCATTTGGATCCTAAAATTATTCAAAACAATGTGCAAAGGTTATGTTTAATCACAGGTGATCCAAAAAAGGCTTCTACCTACGATAAAGAATATCAATCAAAATTTGTCGATCCAAATGTATATCTATACATGGGTCATTAAGCCCCGCCGACCAAACCTAAATACATTATTTTATTTATCTTCTTTTAATTATATATTTTTACATTGAATATAGATAGAGTATTATAATTTTAATAAATAGTTATATTATTTTTTAAAAAAACTTATTAAATATAAAATTAATTACTAGAATATATTATTTCGATTTATACATAAATATTTTTAAAAGTAACTAGTTACGGCAGTTACATTCCCAAAAATATAACTAGTTACAGTTACTATTTACAATTTTTAAAATATACCTAGTTACAGTTATTTTTTAGCAAAAATTTAATTTTAACTAGTTACTTTAACAACACTACTTAATATATTATTTTATTTTTTTTCTCAATGATCAATTCACATATTAGAAATAAAATTAATTTTTTGAATATATTATTTAGATTTATACATACATATTTTTAGAAGTAACTAGTTACTTTGGGCAGTCACATTTTAAAAAATATAACTAGTTACTTACTAGTTACAATTTTTAAAACATAACTAGTTACAGTTATTTTTTAGCAAAAATGTATTACCTCTAGTTACTTTAACAACACTACTCAGTATACATTAAATTTTCCTTAAGAGTAAACAATTTTTTCAGCACGCCTGAAGAATTGGCTCTATAGCACGAGTAAATAATATGAGCTAGCGAACGTCACTGTTTAACTGCCTTCTTAATCTTATCTATAAAAAGGCATTAGTGTAATAAAATTTTGAAAAAAAGGAATACGATGCTAAATGTTTGATAATTAATCTAACAAATAATATAATAGGAACTTAAAAAATAATATTAATAATTAATAAAGATATGATATGATATAACAAGCCGACATTAGAATCGTCTATTCATATTGTAATTAATATTCAATTAATTTAAATTATCAAAGTACATTACATATTCGTAGAAAAAAAAACTATATTAACTATACATTCATTTTATTATACATAAATAATACATAATGAATAAAAATAAATATCGTATATAATGTAATGATGTATAAATTAAATTAATTCTATCATTAAATATTTATGATATTGTAATTATAAATATTACGAAAAAAAATAAGTAATACTAGGCAGAGTATATTTTAAAAAAAACAGATAATTTATACAATTTCCCTCTCTCTAAACATAAAGTTTAAATAAAATTATTATTAAAATGATATTAGTTAAAATGTAATTAGTGTAAATACTATATCATATTATAAAATTAATTCGGCTCTTTGTAAAATTATAAAATCCAAACATGTTTTATAACGCGTACAGTACATCCATCTACCTAGTACCTATGAAACTTTTATCTTTATATCAATTTATACTTCGTAAAAACCAGAGTTTTCATATACATCGTATGGTATCGTTGATACTTTTAACATTTTCACGTGTCTGTACATTTATATTTTATGTACAACTATCGGTATCAAAAACCATCTTGTTGACTTTATTTTTCAATGAAAAAAAGCTTGGAAATATAAAATTTATTTTCAGATAATAAAAAAAATATTGAAATTGTTTTTATTAAATTAAATCGAGTTATTTTACATTTTATCTTAAACAAAGATTATATTAAAAATTATTTGATGAACGTATTTTAACTTTAAAGCAAAATGTTGATAATTTTTTTTAGAAGATTTTGCCATTTTTAATAATTTTTCTATTATTAAATAATTATTCATTAAATAAAATAAAAGAATTCCATTCCTATCAGCGCATCAGTTAAAGGCTTATTCGGTGCCGCCAAAAATGTTTTACTAATAGGAGAGGATATCGCCTTAATAAAAACTTTGAAATGTTAAAATCAAATAATAATATTTAGTATTGATGTTAATGTTAAATATTGCTATTAGTAATAATAAATTATTTCTAAAAACATATTCAAAAACTATCGATGTTTTTTTGTGTATATACATTTGGGTAAGATATTTTTATCGTTAGAATTTGATCTGTAGCGATTCGATACTTTCAAAGTATCGTTAACAATTCTTGTAAAAAAAACCTAAACAAATATTTAAAAAAAATATCATTAAATCGAATGTTTGTAATTTTTCTAAAATGATAACTTATATGCGGTTATGAATTATGATATAATTGAAACACTGGAAACATCAATTTAGTAAATTGAATGATTGTACTAGTAAAAAAGTAAATATAAATTCTGGTGCTTAAGTAGAATTGGCAACATCAAATCTGATACCGATAGAGATTCTAAAAAGTGCTATCGATACAAATACCTTTTTTTAAATGTATTTAAAAAATCAAAATTTTATAATTAACCCCTAAAAGGTAGGCAGGCGCAACTACATCAAGAAAATCTTAAGGATTTGACACAATTGCATCATTCAGGATGGTTAAAATTTTTTATAAATAATTTGAGTTTTTAACATTAAATACTTTATTAGAATAATTTTACAAACGAAACATTTTTCATTTTTGTCATTTACTCAGACGATATGCCTAGAAATATCAACCAAAAAAATATCCATGCATGATAAACCATCATCTAGCACAAAATATTAAAGCTGATTAGTAAGAATCGGCGGTCCAGTTTATAGGTTTGACCAACCCTAGACGTTTTGATCTTTAAAATAGGTTCTGTGATTGGTCTAGTTAAATTTAAATTCTCTTTTTTAATTATAAATATTATAAACGATATTAAGAACACAGTTTATACCCAGGTTCTATTCATACACAAATCTAGAAGGGGAGGGGGATATAGGCGTTTAAGCCCCTTAAATCCTTGCCTGAAAGATATTTAATTTTATTTAGATATTATTATTTATAAATTTTAGGTAGAATTACTTATTTTAAAGCCAATTTTCTTTTTTGCTCATTTTAAAAATAATTACCTCATTTTTGATAATGTTAAAAAAAATTAAAGAATGAGCTCCTTCAATGGAAAAAGTTTGCTCGTTGCCACCTTGTCTATCTTTACTAGTCAAAATTATTTGGTCAATTAATGACCTTCAATTCATTGTAAATATTATTTTCTAAATCAGATGGCAACAAAGAAAAGTAGTTATCAAGGAAGATTATATAATCAATAATGTTTATGTGTATTGCGTATTGACATAAAAATGAGATTAGGATAAATCTCAATCTAATTTTAATGAAGCTGCTCTCATTATTTTATAAAATATATAATTTGTTGTTACTGTAATATTAGTCATATTTTATTACTTTTCTATTTGCAAAACAAATCAAATTTTGCTATTTTTAATCTTTTTATATAGGTATTAAGACCAAGATATAAATCAGTTCGGACCATGGTTTGGTATTTATATTGGTTAGGTTTCGTCTTTATGGCTCCTGACTAGTGTTGTTAAACGGCTCGTTTTGAGCCCATTTTTCAAAGTGGCTAACTCAATATTTTAGCCAGAAAAATATTGCCTAAATCTTGAAATTTCGATAATATATGTCTAAACCTTGATTCCTTCTATAAGCAAAATCTTCAGGCTTGCGTAATATTTTTCTGGATGAAATATTGAGTTAGCCGTTTTTAAAAATCGGCTCAAAACGAGCCGTTTAACAACACTACTCCTGACCTAACCGTGATCTTCACTAAAGCTGATTAATAGCCAAAACTTTTTCGCCAAAAGAAATTCAAACCTTTGTATAGCAAAAATTAAACCGTCTTTTATGGAATCCGTGTATGGGTTGAAGGAGGGGGGGGGGGGGGGGGGGGGGGGTGAAGTAAGATTTTTAGAAAATAAAGGAAAACTTTTTTCAGGAGGAAATACGCGTCTTTGAGGTCCGGAGTGATCCTTATGGGGGTACTCTGCATCGGCAGCAAAAATGAGAATAAGGTTCCCTGCCATAAATTTTATCGTGCGCGTAAAATATATGCCTTTAAATCTGCACAAACTTTATGAGCAGGTTATATAAATTTTTTTTTATTAATAACGAGAACTTCACTATATCCTATAATAATGTTAGCTACATTATCCAATATTCCTAAGATTATGGGAATAAGACTTTGCAAAATATTACATTTAGGGAAATTATATTGCAGTAATAAAAGGGCTATAAATATTATATAAGTTATCTTTTTATTAATATATTTTTTATTATTGGTAAAAAAAATATTATCGATTATATTTCGACCTTTAAAAAAGAAATCACTAAATAAGAAACGAATAAATAAAAAAATCCAGGTAAGTATTAAGTATAAATATAAATAATATTATATCGTTAAATTTACATAATATTTTATTCAATTGTTAACCCAAATAAATATATTTTTTAAAGGGGATGTATAATTTAATAATGAATTAGCTTGGAGGTTCGTCGTCTCCATTGAGATGGAGTTAAAATTATATATTGTTTATAATTAAGGTGCCATAAAACATACGTGTATAAAAAAGGATTAAAACTACATGGCACCAGCAGGGAAGGGTAAATCTACTTCAAACGTTTTTTGAAAATGCTTAAATAAATATCAGAGCCGGTTAGGGTCTAAAAATCTTTATTTTTCAAATTTGGTAAATCCAGCTTAAAATAAATAAGTACCCAAGCTGAAAAAATTGAATTCGCAGGTAATATTTTGGCTTAAAATAACTATAAATGCTATTATTGCATTTTTTTTTAGCTAATAATATCACTTATTAAAACATAGGCATAAATATTTATAAATATTCTATTGATTTATTTACTTTTATAATTAATAACTTTCAATCCAAAAAATATTTATTATATTATAACGAAATGCACCTAATTCATAAAAAATATAAATATATTTTAGGTTTATTGGAAAATTAAATATATTATTATGGATGAGTGCTAATGATACCCTTAACATTTTAAAATTAAAAGCATAATATAAAATTTCAATATATATGTAAATAAAAATATAAAGATTATTTCGCTTTTCCCAAACGATTTCATATAAGACGTAAATTATATTAAGTGTTCGGCCTTAAAAAATTTTAAAGCTTTCGAAATATTGGCATATTATAAAGTATAAAGTTGAAGGTTTTGTAAAAGAAGAAAAATCTCATATAATTGAATTATGAGTAATTTTAACCTAGGATTATGAAAAAGTCACCTTTAATAATATTAGACTTATGTGCGGGTTTAGGCCTAAAATCAACTTTTAAAACCCGGACCAAGGGGGGGGGGGGGGGAACAAATTATTTTACAAACCTTGGCAAAGGCGGGTGGTAAAAAATAACAAGGATATAGCTGGACAAAATTTTTACTTGGGTAGGGCCATAAAATGGACACACCCAGAGCCCTGTATATATACCTCTGCTCCTATAAAAATAATCGTAGAACCCAGGTCCGAATGAGTGCAAAAAAATATCGACTCAAATTTGAAAAATAAATTAATTGATTAAATCGTTCGTATATAATATAAATGAATATATAAAATATATAAATTAAAAATGTATTATAAGTTTAAATAAAGATGTTAAAATGATAGAACAAAGGGATATTGATTCGAATTCTTCAAAACCTAGTGTATGATACTAATCTTTAGAATTTTACGAGTCATGTATTCACAGAATGATAATTAGCAAATAAATATCCAGGTTAAATAGTAATTTACAAAGAAAAGATAAATAAATTGAACTAACTGATTAAATCCTTTATAAATTAACATCCAAATTGATTAATAATTAAATTATAAATACCCACCCCCCCCCCATTCTGAATCATATTTTTTTATTAGCAACTAAAACGGAATATAATAAATGTAAATAAAAAAATGAATCAAATCAGAACAAAAAAAATTGCACTTACATGATAATCCCGGACGATAGAGGCGGAGTAGGTGGAACCCCGCTATCGGACCGATTCGCGTTATTTATCATTTTCTTGCTAGCTTCCTGCAAAGTCTTTTCATCATTCAGTATTTTGACTAAAGCTGCAGCCGGCCCACCCTTCTTAGCCAGCTTATGCAAGAGTGCCGTCGTTGTGTTAGTACGGAATAGCCCAACGGCCCGGCGTTTTAATCCATGGGAAAGACAGACATCTATTACGGCTATAGATAGGTTATATATATATATATAGTTAGTTTTTTTTCCTTCTTTTTTATCATAGTGAACCTTAATAATATTTATATAAATGCCCATCAAACCAATTCTTTCATATTCGGCTTGATTATATTTAACCAACCGATCCAGCCGATTTTTTTGCATTGGATTCTACCTGACTCAAAATAAGGTCCGAGATAAAAAAAATTAATGATAAAATTATAATATTTATTTTAAAGGAAGATTTATAAAAGAATTGGGAAAAAATAATAATTTAATTATTTCTCCGAGGTTCGTGTCTGGCTTGAATAAAAATTTAAAAATCGGTTTGATCAGACAGGTTTAGCATGGCTCTTATCCGTACGAATGTAAGTTTGGTGTTCTATTTCAAATTTTCACTTACTTCTTCTCCTTACCATCTATTTAAATAATCGTTTTATATTTTATATACTTTCTGCCTTCTTTATCTATGTTCTTAGTCAAAACGAAAAAAAACGGGCAATTTAATGTAAATTATTAAAACTATGACCATTTTTTAAAAAAATTCCGAGAGGGCAATAAAAATTGTATTAAAAAAATCAATAAAATTAATTTAAAAATATTTTAAAAGACTAAGTTTTAAAAACCCAGATCGGGCAAAAAATATTACTTAAAAATCTAGGCTGGACCTAAAATTTTTTAAAAATTAAATTCGAGATAGTGGAGCTGGCCTAAAAATTCGATCTCTACATGTCTGAAAAAAAATTCAAAGCTAAAAATTTCCATTAATTTAATTTGCCAATAATCCTCACAAATATTTTATTAATTTCTTATATATTAATAGATATTAAATAAATTTTTAAATATCGATTCGATTTATTTTATGATGCGAGTAAAAACATCCACCAACCCTTCAATACAATGAATATATCAATATCAGGTATATAGTTTGGGTAATGCCAAAATATCTATTGAAATGATTTGTGCACATCATTGTAACATTTCCCGGTGCTATTCCCAAATAATTTAAATTCGGAGAATATAATTACTAAGGATTTTTTTTAAAAAGGAAAAACTGGTAAAAATATATTTTGTCCCAGCAAATCTAGATCATGATCAAAGGATATATTTTATATACCGAATCTAGGGGTCAGGAAAATGTTTTTCCCCAAATTGGTTGCATTGTAACCCTTTCCCGGAAATATATATTTCGTGAAATAAAAATCTTCGTAAAAAACAGATTTACATTCTACATAGGGAGAAAAAATCATTTTAAAAAAATGAAGATAAAAAATAGAGTCTCTTACAGGTGTATTCGCATAACAAGACAATCAATGAGAGTGCAGGACTTTCTAAAAATATAGAAGTCGTTTTAACATATTTATTTCCTTCCTTGCATTTTGAGAGCTGTCTTTTATTTCTTTTTTTATTATCTTACTTTATCTTTTGCTCACATCACCCTTATAATTAAATATTTTAAGAAATATAATTTTGTGCGGTCTATAAATCCTCCATCCTATAGTGCAAAAACTTTTATCTACTAAAACCTCCTAATTTACATGATAGTGAATAAGCCTTCGTCGTACATTAATTGCGTTCAACGTTCATTTATAAAATAGATAAAGGTGGTCAAATTAGTAAATACATTCGTGCAAATCTATAAATTTAAAAAAAATTCATTTTAAATTTAATAACTGCCAAATAAAACCACATTAGCAGTTGATTCAATATTTTTATTTTGCATAGAAAAAGTATTATAAAAATATAAAACAAAGATAATATATGAATTACAATATAAATTATAAAAAGGGTTTAATTATAAAACTAAAAAAGGGTTTGATAGCAGCTTGAGATGGGATTGTCATGTTATATATAATGAATACGTATCTTATTTTAGGAAATTTAATTAAAAATATAATTTTTATCTTTAGTTTGAAATTTTTTGATAAGCAATCCTCTGTTTTTTTTAAAGATGAATTTTATTCATTTGTTGAATGGGTTCGTTTACAACACTATATTTATGCAATATATTATAGTAAAATATAAATAATTTGGAGTAAATAAATAAATTAAGTAATATTAAGCATTTAATTTATGTAATATTTATATATTTTTAAAATTACGATTTATATTTTTAGATACATAAGAAACAAAATTTTGGGGGCCCTTGAAATAGTTTAATGCCGTTGGTTTCGTGACGTAAGCATGGGATGAAAAATAAAAAAATTTACTAAATTGATAATAAATGCTTGAAATTTAAAAAACAACTAGGAGCTGTTTATTCAAACGTATCATGCATGACATTGACTCAAAAAATCAAAAAAAGAAACTAAAAAGATTTTGTCCGGCTAGATTCACTGAAGGACAAGAGTCAGTGAAACTCTTTATTGAACTATATGATGTTGTATTTGCAGCACTGAAATTTTATATATCAAGCAAGGAAAAAGATTCAGCAGATGCTGAGAATCTTTTGCAGGCTATTATTAAGCCACAATTTTTAATATCAATTCAATGTATTTACTTTTTATTTAATTATACATATGATTTTATCAAAATGCCACAAAAAATTGATTTGGATTTAAGAGAGGTTATGAATAGAGCAAAGGATATTGTTGAAATATCAAAATATCAGAGAGAATGTGAATGAAAAATTTCATGAAATATAAAGTAAAGGAGATTCTAATATGTTTGGAATTGAAAATTTTAAACCTAGAGTAGTTTCTTGACATTCAATCGCTCAAACTGTTGATTACACTTAAAACATGAGAGTATATTAAGAAAATCTGAGAGTTTTACGCTGATGATTTAGTAGGCTCATATGATACTTTTGTGATGTGGGATTTTGGTATAAAAATCTTATAGAGTATTCTTTTACCAAAAAATGCTCTGCAGGCCCTTTCCATGTGTAATTGCACTTTAGATTCCCTGCCTAATATCAAAACCTTAATAATTATTCTAGCTACCTTACCAATTAGTATCTGCACTAATGAAAGATCTTTTTCAACTTTAAAAAGATTAAAAACTTATTTAAGAAATACCACCGGTGAAAAACGTTTAAATTAACCCTATTAAATATTTATAAAGAGATTATTCTACATAAAAATTTGATTCCAGATGAATTAGCAAAATCTCAGAGAAAAGTAGACCTCGCAAATTTAAATCAAATAATTGCAATATTATTATATTAGTTTAATATATAATATTTATAATCAAATTTTTTCGTATCCTTATTATAATATTTTTATATTATTTATATTAACTCTTAAAATTTATGCAATTAATACAATTTTTAAACAAAATACTGTGTAGTAATTATATTTTGATAATATCGTCATAATTTTTAAAAACCATTATTTGCATAAGAATTACTAATATTTTATGTAATTGCTAAATTTTTTTTTAAATAGAGTTTTTATAGAATAAATTTTGAAATTTATTTTAAATAATAAAAATAAATACATGATAAAATAAAGGAATGTCATTTATGCTAAAGTATTTTTATATAATAAATAAAATCTATAATGAAATACTTTCTAAAATTTTGTTATATGAAAATATTTTAAATAATTTTAACATAGATTAAGATGTAAGCAATTGAGTGTTCATAAAAAATGGGAAGCTTATAAGGCGAAGCTACCCCCCTCCCCCCAATAAGAAAATCCTGACTACGCCATTGTCTTGGGTCGTTGCCCCGACACTCCCCTGTTCGCACGGGCCTGATCCTATCGAATTAAAGTATATATCCAAAATCTTTTAATATAAATATAAATATAAATAAATTAAAACAAATTTTTCAATAAAAAAAATTATTATTATTATAAATATATACAAGTTTTCTAAATTTTAAAACTTTAGATAAAATAAATAAATAATAATCGAAAAAATTTATATAATCATATTTTATTTATAAATGAATATTCTAATATCCTCATGAATATTTATATATAATATTCCAATTTAGAGATCAGAATCAAATCTTATTTGTATTAAATTATTTCTAAGCCATCAGTCGCTAGGGAGGGATAAAACGCGCAGTACACTTGTATTTATTATTTAAGTGTGCATGCCTACAAACATAATTCACATTTTAGAATAAGAGCAAATGACGCAATTGCTCTTTACTAAGAAATATAAATATATTTTTGCTATTTCTTCCCACTTCAATACAAGTTTTATAAGTTCGATAAGCATGCAATCTTACTTAATTCAAAAAGAATTAATGACAATTATGATCTAATGTTAGGTGTTTTGTATGTAACATTCCGATTTTTTTTTTCAAAAAAACTTTTAAAAAGAGAATTAATTTTTTGCAGTTTTTAAATTTAAAATGTGCAATTTTAAAAATTTGATTTCATAATCATTTGAGCAGTTTTTAAATTAGCATAATATTTGAATTTCAATTGTAAGATCATATATTTATATAAATATAATAACTATCAAAAGCCTGCAGAGGTACTATGGATTTTAAAAAAAAAATCCGGCCCAGCCTGGGTTTTATATTTTTATTATATCGATTAAAGTTTAAAAACAATAATTTTATTTGTAATTCTTTTGTATATGTCGTATTGGGATATGGAATCATGTGGGATTCGGAATCCCGACGTGGGAATTCGAGATCTTGAATCTCCACGTTTTATTAGGAATCTTTTTTAAATATTTTAAATATTAAATATTTTCACATGAATATATATTTTTAAAAAATCCGAATTAAAAAAAAATTATTTATTGCAACAATTCTTCAATGCTATATAACATTTCGTTGAAATTTAAGGTTGTTCTTGAAACACTAACACTTTTTATTCATGCATATCATTTTTCAATTGCATAACGATGGTTTCCCATAGTTTGTAACATTCCGGAAGCTACTAAATATTTTTAGCAGTTTAAATAAATAATTGATATATTTTATGTACATGAATTAATTTGAGGAGTATATGCGGTTACTATAAAAATAGCTCAAATTACCTATGATTGAGATATCTTTTTGGGAACTTCAAAATCATTTAATTTTATAGTTTTATATAGAGGC